GAGGTTCTATAGCTCGTGTCACGGCGCTGCAAGCTCGCTTGCGCAAGTATACGACTTGAACGCGCGGCTTCCTTTTCTTATATATATGCACAGCTTCTCTTGCCGCCGCACGTTGTCGTTGTTGCCTTTTCTTCATTGTATCGTATGTACATCGATAACATCGTCGGCCGTTTAACGAACTCGTGCTCTCTTCGACAGTTTTCCTAATTGCTCGGTATACGCAGCAGCAGCGGCACCGGCAGATTAAACGGTATAATTTTGTTTGCGCCTCGGGGGCCGCGGCGATTTCATCAACATCGCGGCGACGATTAACTCGCTAATTTTTTGCCGATAGAGAGAAAAATTGTCGAGCTTGCGGAGTCCAGGACTTTTTTTTCATCGATAAAAATGGTAAAATTTCAGAAGTAGGAAAGTATAGAAGAGAAACGAAAGGGTCGAGTAGGCGCGCGCTTTGTTCTCTATGTGTATATAATCGCACGACGGGTATATATACTGTACACAGTAAATCGAGTTTAACGCAAAGTTAGTCGACGTCGACGAGTTGTTCGCGAGAGACACATAATTTTCGATTAAATTACGGTACTGGCCGCTATCCTGCTATATACATACCACCCCCCTGCATATATACATATTGCCGAGTGTCTGTCGCGCTGCCGAGCGAGAGTGTAACAATCTCCTTTTCTCTCGGTCTTTGCGCGTCTCTGCGCGTCTCTCTTTTCGCTCGCGCGACGCGAAGCGACGCACACGCCTCGCTGGACTGTCTTTGTTGATTATATATCGAAGAACGGTGTAAGGGGTAAAATAGAGAGAGAGAAAGGGCCGCTGCTCACAGCGCCGTTGTCGTCGTCTTCTTGGGGATCGTGAAACGAATGGTCTATTCTTTAACGCGCGCGGATGTGTATAAAGTGAATTTAGCCGGAGAGTTGCCGAGCTGCGAGCAGTGGTACATACTTACACAGACACAGACAGTTACTTACTCTCCTGCGAGAGAAGCGCTTACACACGCAGCTGTGCGAGCACGTATAGGTATATATAGATATAGTTTATAGCCAAGTACTACTAGAGAGTTAGCCGAGCGCGTCAAGCTTCATTGGAATTTCGATTAATGACCTTTTTTTGCGCGCTCGCGCTCTATCGGGTCTCCCCCCCCCCCTTACCCCCTTCGCCCAAGGATCGCTTGCTCGAGTGAAAGGAATTGAAATCTTTAAAGACAGCTGCGAACGATTGTTCAAAATTGTTTTTATCGCGCGTGTTTTCTGTCTCTCCTTCGTTTTATTAAGGCGTGGTAAAAGTAATTTGTCTCCGATGTATAAGAATTGCTTTCTTCCCGAGGAAGGCGTAGTAAGATAATTTTGTTTGTATTTTGTAAAGTAGATCGAATAACCGATAAATGTTTGAACGTGGTGTTGGCATGCGTTGAGAGTATTATATCAAGCGGAGTTAAGTTGTATTGAGATAAAGTAGAGTTGTTTTACCATCACTGCTGGAAAAAAATTGTTTAAATTGAAAAAAATGTTGAGGTAAATGTTTAGAATATCAGATGAAAACAAGAAGAATAAATAAGTTGGGATCTGTTTAATTTTTTGAAAGTTATAGCAGAAAAATTTACAATTAAGTTATTGTTTTTAACGATAGAGCCACTTGCCAATGAATTAGCAGTGGTTGTAACAGTTGAACTTCTGACAGTTTCTCTATAGTAATACCGCAATAATTGATTACAGTTAACTTGAATTCATTTTTTGATAATTTACTTTATAGTTTTAATCTTGAAAAAATCACACGATGTTAATTCCTTTGTATGCCGCATCGACGTGGATCTTCATTTTAATTGGCACGCGGTAAAGGAACACAATTATGCACCGAATCAATGTGTATCCTGAGATATCTATAGCTTTTAAACGACCTTTCACAAATGTCTCACCGGTAAGTTATACGATTGTGCATTGAATCAGTATGGTTTTTCAAGCTCGACTTACTTGCATATGACTTTTCGCATATATCACAGATATGAGGGTTTTTACCACTATGAATTGAATCAATATGAACTTTCAGGGAACACTTTTGAGAAAATTTCTTTCCACACACGCGACACGGGTGAGTAATAAGATTATGAATTGAATCAATGTGAAGTTTCAGGGAAATCTTTTGTGTAAATGACTTTTCACATGTGGGACATAAGTGATTGATACGCTCATGTACAGAATCAATATGGGTTTTAAGATGTGCCTTTCGTTTAAATGACTTTCCGCATTTATCACAGTTGTGAGGTTTCCGACTAATGTGAACTAAATCAATGTGTCTCTTGACATAAGATTGGCATTTAAACGACATTCCACAAATGTCACACGGGTAAATATTACGATTATGCACTGAATCAGTATGAATTTTTATAGTACCCTTCTGAGAAAATGACTTTCCGCATTTATCACAGTTATATTTTCGACCATGATGCACTGAATCAATGTGCAACTTGATATTAGCTTTCCTTTTAAATGTTTTACCACAAATATTACAAGCATATGAACTGAAATTAAGCGCCAAATCAATATGGGGTTTCAGAGTTTTTTTTTGAGATAACTTATTCGAATTGGTTTCACATTCAATCGATTTTTCACCTCCAATCGATTTTTCATTTACGAGAGGATGAATTTTTATATTCTGTTCGTTGAGTTTGTAGTCAGAGCTTACATCAATAGTTTTTATACTATTACTAAGAAATTCTTTATTTACTATGCTCGCACTTTCAATTTTAATCGAGGAATGAGTTGCAAAATTATCTCTAATTTTGACATCTTGATATTGATCGTTTACTTTATCAGGCCCTAATGAATTCACAATGGGATTCTCATCTTTGCACTCAAACTCTATTTTGATTTCTTGGTTAGGTTGAAATTCAAGAATCCCTTCATTCAGTTTATACGGTATTGATAAATTTAAATTGGATTTCTCATCTTTGCACTCAAATTCTATTTTAATGTCTTGGTTAGGTTGGAGTTCATTAATTCCTTGGGTTTCTTCGAGCGTGTGAATCTGAACAAAATTGAAATTTTTAAAAGTTACCCTTGGATTACATCAATTATCCTTATTAAACAACTTACTGTACTATCATGGAGACATCTGAAGTAATCCAAATTTTTAGTATCGGATGCTTGGTCTCCGATTTCACCATCGACATTTCCGTTATCATTCGCACCATCAGGCTCTTTTTTTACTCTGAAAATAACAATAAAATTAAAAAACATTAACTCAGTTATTTTGTCATTTCACTTTGTACAATAATAATTACGTGGCAGCACAGTTGATTGTCTTCATCTTGTTGAACTTGAGTTAAGCGTGAGTGAAACAAAAGAAACTGAGCAATCCCGAGCACTCGCAACTTTTACAAATATTGAGCAGAATTAATACCAGCAGATCGCTTCAAGGTAGTAGAAATTTTATCAACAGACGTGATAGACATGACGCGTCAGTATGAAAGTTAAGAGTTGTATTCGATGTTTTTAATTTTCAAAATTGGGAATACACCCAAGCTGTGAAAATTATGCGTTCACAAAAGCAAAATTTTACAGCAAATCGTGTGAACACGAAAAAAACGCTGTTAATATGGAAGCAGGATGCAATTATAAAAAAAGTCATTTTTATTATATGACTTTTTTCTTTTTTCAAATGATAAATTCTGGTGCAAAAATTTGACTATAGTGTGGTTAATTAATTCATTAAATTTCAATTAATTTTGATGAACAATAAAGTAGTATCTATTTTATATATCTTATATAAAAGATTAAGTAGTACTATATTATATAAAAGATTATTACTTGAGTAAGAAAAAAAATTCCAGTAAAGGTGTTAATTGAACAAAAAAATTACGAATCGAATAACGAAGATGAAGAAAATTTATTAATGATGCACATGAAAGTTCATCGTTTCCGTTGAATAGATACGACAGATATTTATGATCAACAAGTGCTCGAAATATCTGATGAGACACATATTTGCAGTTCACTGAGCGATCGGATGAACTTTATGAGTTCATCGTGTATAAATGACAATTAATGAACTTTTGTAAATATTAAATTCATTTGTTATATTTATAAACTGTATGTCGTTACAGAAGTGATGATATGAAAAATAATTGTAAATAACAATGAGTGACGTACTCTGCATCATTGACGTCAATTATTAAAATAAAATATTATAATAAAAACTGTTCATTCATTAGCAAAGAGCTCCTAATATGATTAATCTTTTTTATGTATAAGTCTAAAAAATTATCGAAAGGGAAAAAATTTAAACATCTAGTCAAGAAATTAACAAGTTAAGTCGTAAATCGTCGTCGCGATCAAGTTCAATCTGATTCAATGCTCTTTCTTAACGTGACTAATATTTTTCTTTACTCTCAGAATGAAATCTATGATCAATGTACCAAGTACTCTTAAGACACGAGAGTATTATTTGTCCTCATTTTTCTCAATAAATAATGTATCAATTATCTAGAAACTTTGTATTTAGATTTAGGAGATTCATAAAACTATGCCTGCAGTCTCGTTTTCACAGAATTGTATCATGTAGAATCAAGGAAAATCTAATTAATAATAATTATTTTGCTTCGATTTATATAATTATTCCAACTTGCCACTTGTAGATTTGCGGTTTTTAAGATACTCGCCACCTAGTGGTCAAATCTCAAAGTCATTTTATTAATTTTGTTATTGTAACATTAATTTAACAAAAAAGTCTAAAAAAGTCATTTAATGGTAATTTTTTCAAAAAATTTTCAACAGTTTTTAGTCATTGACTCACTATTAATATCGAAAATTTCTACCAGGGTTATTTTTTTAGAATTTTATTTTGATAAAAATCATCTGTAATATGTGTTCGATGTTAAAAATATCGCTCTGAATTCGATGTTTAAATATCATTATTTATTGTCAAAATTGTTAATCAAACAAGTAACTTCGAAATCGTCACGCATAGTACATCATTGCCCATGCCGCGATTCAAGCTCAAACGTCCTGGGAATTGGCGAACTTGATCGTGATCCGCTCGGACCACATGTTCGGGTATCTGGACACGAAGGCGTCGAGGTACTCGATGCCGTGGGCCTCGTCGGCCCTGCGATCGAACGGGAAGCCCATGGGTCGTGCGTCGGGATACAGGGCCTTCGGCCGAGCGCAGAATCTCATGCCCGCGCGCGAACAGTAGTCGCAGCGATTCTCGTCCAGCACCTATATGCGTACACACACAGCGATCGATTTTAAATAATTTTAAGAAACGAGGATAAGAGGTAATTATCGACAGACCTCGTCGAGGTGGTAATCGGTGATCATGACGAAGAAGTCCATGACGAAGCCGGCCTCGTTGCCCTTGGGCAGCAGCGCGTGACGCGGCCATCCCGATCCGCAGTAGTCGTGGCTATCGTAAATGCACGGCTCCATGGTATTCTGGCAAACGTCGGGTGTATCATCTGCGTCAGCGGCAGCCCCATTTTCAGCAGGAATCGTCAACGAGGAGAGCCTCGAGCTTCGCCTGATTTCGTTCGTTCCGGGATCGACTACACGCAATCGCCATAAATTATTAATATTATTAAAAAAAAAAAATCATCTCACACATATATCACTCACGTTTTACGACCCACTTGTCGAGCTCGATCATCAGCTTCCTCTGCTCGTCGTAGGTCAGCCGGCGTCCGCGCTCGTCGTAGCTCGGCGCCGCGAACAGCCGCATCGTCGCCATGGTGGCCATCGACCTCACGCTCAGCACCTGCAGCTCCAGCTCGTAGTCCTCGTGCTCGAGATGCCGCACGCTGGCCACGATCCTGGCCCCCTTGGGCGCGTGACTGACGCCCCGCGACAGATCCAGCTCGCTCGCACTCCATCGAGTTTCGATCTGGCGCTCGCGGTGGCGCTCCGTGCCCTTGAGCAGGCTGCCCTTGCGGCTGCCCACGCAGACGACGTCGTCGAAGCGCAGCTCCTCGTCCGTGTAGGCCGGCAGCGAGTCCTTGTAGGCCAGCACGAGCTCGTCCGTGAGCGCGTGAACCCGGTAGAAGGCCGGGTCGCGCATCGCGGTGGCCCGATCGGCCAGGGGGCCGAGCTCCTCGCCGTGACGCGACTCCGGATCGTGAATCGCGGCCAGGGCGTGCAGCAGCGAGCCACGCAGGTTGCCGTAGTACGCGTTGTCCTTGGCGTAGAACAGAATGTTGCCCAGGAAATTGACGCCGTTCCCTGGGTCGAATTTTCCGAGCAGCTCTTCGTGGAGCTCGTTGTACGCCTCGTGACGGTGCACCACCTCGAGGATGCGAGCCCGATACAGCTCGAGATCACTGACGTCGAGGTTGAGTTGCTCCCTCGGACGATCGATTCGCGCCAGCGACAGGTTGGCCGGCCGACCGGGATACGAGCGACCGTAGGCCGTAGCGTCGAGCTTGGAGAAGTAGCCCTCGGCGATCGGCTGGCGGAAGTCCTTGATGGGCTTGACGCGAGCCAAGCCGTTCGACAGACGTTCGGCGTTGTATCTGTTTTGATCGCGATATATTTTATCAATATGATTTTATCGCATTTTAATCAAATTGCAAACTTACCTAGCGATTATCTGATGATGTATGTACCAGAAGTGCTCGCCCTGTCTGTCCTTCTTACCGAACAATGCCGCTCTCTCGACGTCGGGATACAGGAGGCTCAGATGCCAGTAGTGAGTGTTGATGTCGACGTCCTCGCGCCAATAAGCCACGCGATTCTCCTCGTCGCTCGAGCTCGCGGTCGCATTCAAATCGACCTCGAGATACTGCAATACAAAGAGAGAAGAGACCTTTTGAAGTCAAACCGAAAGACAGTTGAGAAGTGCTAGAGCTTCAAAAGCAGCTCGAAAAGCTTACGACGGGTTTTTCCGTGTTGTTGGCCAGCTCGACGGCTTGGGCGAGTTTCGAACTCGGCAAGTACTTGTGCGGGAAGAGCTCGACGAGTCTCGGGGGCCGCAAGCTCGCGCAGTCGAGGCGATGGGCGCAGACCACCGCCAGCGCATAGTTCAGCAGCGAGCTGTTCGCTCGGTCGCGGATCGCCAAGACGCCGGCCACGAGCTCTTTGACGGTTTTGTAATCTGGTGAGATACGAGCGAATATCATTCATCGTTGAGTTTTTGCGGATGTTTCCGAGAATTTTGTTATTATCGTGCTGTGCACTTACCGAGGAATCTCTCGACGAGTTTCGTGACTACTCGCCTGTGGGCTGCCGAGAAAGTCGAGAACACCTCGTGACGGCCGACGTCTTGGGCGTAGTAAATTTCTTCCCTCGCGTCCTGCACTAATTTATGCAGATCCAGCGACTCGAGCTTGAGTCTCAATGCCGCGTCCTGTAGAATTTCGTAACAATAAAATTTTTAACTTTTCTATGATGATGCAAATTTATACTTTATCGTACCTTGTCGGAATTCAAAGAAATCGGAGGGTAGGTGTAGGTGGCTCGGTTGATGGTCTCGCTGCCGAGCAACAATTTAGCCACCGACTCGTCGGGCCGCTCGAACGCCAACTTGAGTAGCTCCAGATAATCGACGTTGGCCATTTTTCAGCAAAGGAAGAAAAAAATGTAAAAAAAAAAACGTTGTTGTCTCGCGATCGAATAATAAAATATATATGTGGTGCACTACGCGCGAAGTTGACAATAATAGTCAGACTGACGCCTCGCCCAACGATAACTCGCTATATATTTATACCCCCCAAAAAAATAATTCTCTAGCCTAGCTTGGCTAAAAAAATAAAAATTCCCACGACGACGACGATCGCGTCTATGATTACGCGTACCCTATTGAATGCCGAAAAACCCATCGGGAGGTATATACAACGACACACCGAAAACTCGGTGTCGCGGTTCGCAGTTTTAGCCGCAAAATCCGGGAAAAGGAATACCGGGATATATGCGTTTAACGCAGCGGTTGAGATTTTACCGTATTGTATAATAACGCATAACGTAGTTCAAAGTCCGAGCAGCAGTGGCGGCTACGACACAGGAAAATCGATTATATATTGTATCGTCGGACACACAGTGGAGTCTGCGGTCGTGTGTATACATCATATACGCGCGCCACTGCCGCCACGCCTAACACATTGATTATGATATAATAACATTTCTCTATTCCATTCGGTGAGAGAGTAGAGAGAGATAAAACATGTTCAAGATTAGCTTGTATTTAATTGTGTATGGTGGTTGATAAGGGCAGGATATAAGCAATTTTGAGTATGGGAATTTGTGAGAAACCGCAATTAAATGAAACTTGATATCTAGAATTTTTAACGTAGTGTCAAATGTAAACAATAATATTTTTACCAAATTTTTATTTATGCAACTTTAAAAAATTACTTGTGAAAAATCCACGTGCGAAGCGTGTTCGAGACACGGGGGAAAAAGGCCGGAAAAATCGTAAAGAAGCAAAGCTCGTGGTGACTAATATACCACGAGGATAAAAAAAAAAGGAAATGAAAGAGAGTAAAAGCGCAGCTCGCTCGTGGCTTACTTGCAGGCGTGTATAGTGCCACTGCTCCAACGACGGCGCTCGTCGAGGAGTGGGGAAATTTTTATGATGCCGAGAGTCAGATGCGCTCGACGAGAAAAAAGAGCCAAGTAGGGAAGATTCAGCATTATGACATTTGACGATCGGATTAGAGATTCTCTGCATTTAGTCATTTTTCCAGTGCTCCACGAGTAATGCAACGATGTTATCAAGTGGAATCTCGAGGACGACCAGTTAATTTTTATACTACTTCCGATTCTCGTTTCAGTAGTACGAGCAATTTCTCTCGCGTTTTTCATTTTAATGCAGAAAATGTGGAGTTTCTCTGTTAATTTTCAAAAATTGATTTGATAAAATACTTTGAATGAGTAATATTTTAACCCTGCACTCCTAATTAATGAACAGTTTTTACTCGTTAGTTTAAAAGCTCTGTGTTTATAAAATATGATAAAACTAACAACTAATAAATTACTACAACAACACACAATAGACAGAGTTCATTTTCATTATACACTTTAATTCTATTCCAAAAGATTTTCACGGTAAAAAAATTTTTTTTGAATTTTCAATAATACCCAATCATAACGTATTTCGGAATCATTCGTCCGAAAAAATATCGCGTAATACGCAGTTGTAATAAATAGAACACTTTTTCTCCCTAAAAATTCATTTATAAATTCTCTCGGCTCGAAAAAGCCACGATAGTAATTTAATAAAAAAATACTCTTCTATCGTCCGACAGGCCTCGCTTTGGGGAGATTTCCATTCAATGGATATGTAACGGCTCGAACACCTTTTCATTCGCGAAACGTTTTATTTCCCCAAAATATTTTACACTAATATCGTACATTTTTTTTTATATAAATTGAAAAAAAAAGTGCAACGAGCGGATGATACGATTGTACTGCAGCACGTAAGAATTATATATTTTTTGCAAACTCTGCCATCCATTAAAACTTTTAATTATAAAGTAGATTTGTATTCTTGGTAAGAGCATTGAAAAAAATAATAAAATACAGAGTTAAAACCATTTTGATGTAGGATTTAAATAATGTTTATTAAAAATTCTTCACTCCTCTGCATCCGCAGGGTACATTTTATAAATTTTGTTTCATTTCGCAGTGGTGTACACATTAATTAATCATGCACAACTCTCTATATGCGCGCATACACATTATTTAATTTCTCAGCCCGAACGAGATCTGGCGCGGCTGCACGGTATTCTGGAACCTGACGCTGATCTCCTTCACGGCCATGTTGGGCAGGACGAACTCCTCCACGGACTGGACGTTGGCCGGACGATCGAACGGATAGCCCATGGGCCGGGCGTCCGGGTACTTGCTGTTTTTGAGGCCGCAGAAGCTCATGCCCTCGTTGCAGCTGCCGCCGCTCGGCGCGGGCTGATCGACTCGGTCGAACTCGTAATTGGAGATCATGACGAAGAGGTCCATGGGGAAGCCGCGCTCGTTGCCCTTGGGTGCGAGCATGTGCTGGGGCCAGCCGCAGCCGCAGAAGTTGAAGTCGAGGAAGCTCTGCAGGGCGTCCTTGTCGGGCCGGCTCTCGTCGAGGTCGCGGAAAGTCGCGTCGAAGGGGATGGTGACGGACGACAGTACCGAGCTCCTGTTGAGGTAGTTGACCCCGGGCTTGACTGTGCGACAGAAATAAACGTTTCAATACGCTTTTCACGACATTGAGTATAGCATGAAAATAAACAATACTAACGCGGAACGGTGAACTTGTCCATCTCGATCATCAATTTTCTCTGCTCGTTGAAGGTGAAACGACGGCTCCTGTTCTGATCGTACTTGGGCGCGATGAAGATGCGCGCGGTGCCGACCAATTCGCGGCCGATGTTGTTGTGCACGGTGAAGTTGTACTCGAAGTCGACGTGATTCAGATGTTGGACACGCACGCGGACGGGCTCGCGGGGCGCGAAGTCCAGGCCGCGCGACATCTCCAGCAGACTCTTGGTCCAGTGAGTGGAGATGGTGTCGAGGGGCGCGCCCACGGTCGACAGTCTCAGATCGGTAATCTGCACCCCCGAGAAATTCAGCTCCTGCAGGGAGTAGGGCGGCAGCGAGTCCTTGTACAGATGCAGCAGATCGTCGACCAGCTGATGGATCCGGTAGAAGGCCGGGTCCCTCATGGCGGTGGCCGTGTCGCCCAGCACGCTGAAGTTCTCCAGGTAACGGCCGTCCGGGTCGTGCGCCAGACCGATGCCGGCGTGCAGCGAGTTGTGCAGATCGCCGTAGAAGCTCGAGTTGGCGGAGAGCACGGGCGAGGCCTCCAGCATATTGCCCAGGATCTCGATGCCGTTCTGCTCGTCCAGTCGGACGGTGCTGCCGTCGCTGCGACGCACCTCGCGACGTCGGATCGCGTCGATGAAGCGACGACGATACACCTCGAGATCGGCTATGTTGAAGTTGAGCTCGAGCTCGGGCCGACGGACGTCCGACATGGTGTAGTTGCGCGGACGGCCGGGGAACGAGCGACCCGCGACGCCCTGGTCGAGCTTCGGAAAGTAGGCCTCGGGTATGGGGTCGAAGAAGCCGCGCAGAGGCTCGACCAATGCCAGGCCGTTAGCCAAGCGTTCGGTGTTATACCTATATAATGTGACATAATGAAATTTCGCGATAGCTAGTATATAATATGATATATAAGTTTGAAAGAAGACGACGACGACGCATACCTGGCGATTATCTGATGATGCATGTAGTAGAAGAGCTCGCCGCGGCGGTCCTTGACGACGACCTCGCGGGGACCGGTGAAAGGATAGATTAAATGCCAGTGCCAGTGGTGGAGATTTATGCCGACGTCCTCGCGCCAGTAGGCGATTCGGTGCTCGGGGTCGGCGTCCGTGCCCGTGTAGTCGACGGGAATGTCGATCGGTCGCTGTCATATTCATTTTTTTTTTTTATTATACTTTGCAATAAAAGAATATTTTATATCGCGATGATAAGGATGATGTTATACTCACGCGAGACACGCCGGTGGTGGTGTTGGCGACCTCGCGAGCTTTGTTCAGAGTGCGACCGCTCACGTACTTGTCGGGAAAGATCTCGCTGAACTGGGGCAGCTGCAGGTCGTTGGTGTCGCGACGATGGAGTATGGCCACCGACAGGCAGTAGGCGAACATCTGCGGATTGATGCGATCGCGACAGTAGACGGCCACAGACAGCAGATCCTCGCTCGTTCTTGCACCTACACATTTTTGCGCACGTATAGTGCATTAGATATGGTATTATATGTGGAAGATGACATGAAAGCTTAACATTATTTTTCTTCTCGGCGCGACGATATATTATTATCCTTATGCGTTTTATGTGTGTTCATACCCATGAATATCTCGGTGAGGCGAGCGGCCATTCTCGCGTGAGCCGGCATGAAGAGGGAGAAGGCCTCGTCGCGATCCAGCGACATGGGCAGGCTCAAATCGGGGATGGCCACCTGCTTGACGTGGATCTTGGGCACGTCGTCGCCGAAGCGGGTGGCGATCGCTTGGCTCTGCGATGCCTCATATTGCGATTCGGGCTACAAAAAAGAAAACAATTTTTTTTTAAATACATCATTATGTGTGTTTTATACGGATTATTTTCTATGAGGATTTTATACTGTACCACGTAGTTCGGGGGCAGATCGAAGTGCAGGAAGGATGGCTCCCTGGGACGGTCGAACAACTCCAAAAGATTCTTCTTGTCCATTTTTCACAGAGAGAGAGAGAGATGATTGAATTCGACGGAGTAAATCGACTCGAGTGCGAAAGTCTATACCGTATTCGAGAAGCGAATAAAAGCGTGTATACTGCAAATATACAACTGCTGTACTACACAACACTTATCGAGCCGAGAGACTTTTTCCCTTTTCGTACCGAATAAAACAGAGAGAGAAGCTCTCGAGTCAGCTTAATAATGTATCGCGCCTCGGACTCGGAGCTCGTTGTTGGCTACCACTACTACTCGTACTTACTGCGTTACAAGCAGAGAATGATGTACTTGCTCGGCGGAGGCTGAAGTATTTATACCCGATTTCTGGGTAAAAATTGTTTTACCCGCTCTCCGCTATCCTAGACGCAGATAAATCGAACCCGGGGCTAGTTGAGGTCCCTAATCAATTTTTTTTCCCAGGCCGGTGTAGTTATATACGTATACGCGACGGGGTCGTCGGAAAACCAAAAAAAATATAATGCCGGTAGACGACGGTAGACGCTAGTTTGCGGTTTTTCGCGCGTAATAATACATCGATTCAATACGAGAGAGAGAGAGAGAGATCTCGCCTTATCGGTTATCGCGAGCGGATGAAGCTCTAGCTATGATACAGATCGCGTGCGGCTGGTATAGGTGCCGCAAATAGTTTCCGAGAGACCTCTTTTAATTGTACATTTCCTGCTCGATGGATGCGAATCGGGAGTGAGAATTGGCCCAATTTTTTTTTATCGTGTCCGATATCGGAATGGTGAGAAATTTACAAAAGTTTTATCATGTATATAGGAGTTTTATCGATTTATTTATTAGTCTTCGTATATATGCACCGATACATTCATCGAATATACAACTATGTTCCACGAGCTTTGACCGTATCGCTGAATCGCACCGTGATCGGCTGCAGCATCATGTTGGGAGTGAGGAACTGATCGATGCGCGCGACATTGGCCGGCGACGGACGATCGAACGGGAAGCCCATCGGCCGCGAGTCCGGATACTTGCGATTCTGCAGTCCGCACAGAGTGGCCGCGCTCGTGCACGATGATTCCGTTAACGTCGCGTTCGGGTCGTCCACCTGAATTGCGAAAAAAACAATGATGAAAAGTTTCAATTTCATTTATTTTATTAATTTCTGCGCTTCATCATACCTTGTCGACGTAATAATCGGTGAGCATGACGAACAGATCCATGGGGAAGCCCTGCTCGGTACCCTTGGGCACGAGCAGATGCTGAGGCCAGCCGCAGCCGCACAGGTCGTAGGCGAGCGCGGCGTCGAGATCGCCGGACGCCGGTTTCTTGGACAGATCGCGGAAGGTCTGCTCGAACGGTATCGTCACGGCCGAGGCGGTCGAGGCTCGAGCGATGACGTTGTGGCCTCGTTGCACTTTATTCACACGTTATAAAATATCAATATCATAAAGTAATCTACTTATATTAGTAAACTCACATTTGACCAAAAACTTGTCCATCTCGAACATGAGCCTGCGCTGCTCCTCGAAGGGCAACGGACGGCCCTCCTCGTCCAACTTGGGCGCCATGAAGATGCGAACGTTGACCAACGCGTCGTGGTACAGATAGTTCAGCGCGTCGATGCGATAATTGAAGGGCGCGTTGTTGAGGTGCTGAACGCGAACGAGCACTGGCTCGCGAGGTGCGAAATCCATGCCGTTGGACAGATCGATCTCGCTGCGGGTCCAGTGAGTGTTGAGGGTGTTGGGATTCTCGCCGGGGGTCTCGATGCGCACGCCGCTGACGCGCACACCGGCGAAGGAGAGCTGCCGGCGAGGAATACAGGGAAATTATGTAGCACCAGGTTCAGCCGTTAAGCAGCTGGCGCATTTTTTCGAGCGAGTGCATTTGAGTGGACTTTACTTATACAAATATTTTCACCTGTGTACTTGCAGGTTTACAAATAAAGGTATACGCTCGCCATCTAGCGGTGCAAATTTGCTTTACTTATGATTGAATTTTCATACAACTCTAATGCAATCAGTTTAAAACATTGATTTTCAATCTAAATGTTAAAATTCAAGAAAACAACTGAATTTTTTTAGTTCATTTTAGAATTAAAAATAATGTATGTGGTTGCGTAGTTATATATTTTAATGAATAAAAAACTTTCAACGAAAATTTCACACGAAAGTACCGTTACAAATTTCAGTAGCACGAGTTACTTCAATTTTAATGTCTAATTTTAAATTAAATCTGCCTTATAACTTTGCGAGTATTTTTTACCGCTAACATCGTAACATAGTTATTTTAGCGTTTGAATTTTTTTTTTTGCACTGACCTGTTGCCAAGTGTAAGGTGGCAGCTTGCTCTGCATGGCGTTGACGATGTCGTCGACGAAGGCGTGAATTCGATAGAACACGGGATCTCTCATGGCAGTGGTGGCGTCGCCGATCGGTGAAAAGTTTTCCTGCGGCGAGTAAAATACACGCGTTTATCGATCGAAAAGCTCTCGTAAGCTCGAATTCATAATTTTTTTTTCTCTTTACCAAGTAACGATTATCGGGATCGTGCAGCAGCGATACCAAATTGTGCAAACTATTGTGAATGTCGCCGTAAAAATCCTTATTGACGCTCATGAGATTCGACTCGAATAAATTTCCCAGCACCTCGACGGCGTTGCTCTCGTCCAGCTGCAGAAAAGTGCCGTCGCTCTTGAGCGCCTTGAAATTGTAAATCACGTCCCAAGTCCTCTGTATGTAACGCTTCATGTCGGCCAGGCTGATCCTGTAATTTTCATTGGGCCTGTCGACGTCCTGCAGTTTGCTATTGACGGTGCGCGCCGGATATCCCCGGCCGGCCATGGTCATCTCCAGCTTGGGAAAGTAGGCCTCGGGTATGGGCGCGTCCAGATTGTCGAGCGGCTCGACCTTGGGCAGACCCGCGCACAGACGCTCCGCGTGATAACGCGCCATTATCTGATGATGAAAGTAGAAGAAGAGCTCGCCCCGGCGGTCCTTGCGTACGATGCGCTCGGGCCCGGAGAACGGATTGACGAGGTGCCAGTGCCAGTGGCAGTTGTTGGCGCCGATGTCCTCGCGCCAGTAGGCCACCCGGTGCTCCGGGTCCTCGTTCGTCGCCGTCCACTCGAGCGGGATGTCGATCGGTTGCTATAACACGAGAATATAGAGCGAGATGCAAATTTGCGACACGTGTCGTCGTGTATTGATTCGTAAAATAAATGCGCTTACTCGTTCGCTGGCGGACAAGAGCGAGGAGTACTCTCGAGTCTGTTGCAGGGCCTTGGAGTCGATGTAACCCTCGGGAAACATCTCGTGATAATTGGGAATCTGCAGACCCTTCGTGTCCGCGCGGTGGAGGATGGCCACGGACAGAGCGTAAACGAAGAGACGCGTGTTCAAGCGATCACGACAGTAGGCGGCCACGGCTAGCAATTCATCTTGATCTTTCAGATCTTCGATAGAGAGAGATTGAATTAATTTACGTTAAAAACTTTTTTTCCAACTCGATGCAATGAATGTATATATTTACTCAAGAACAACTCGACGAGTCCCATCGCCGCCTGTCGATGGCTCGTTATTTGCAGCGAGAACGCCTCGTCGCGCTTTATCTTCAGAAAGGGCGCGAGATCGGGCGGATCGATGGGTTTCAGCGTGACGAACGACTCGGCCTCGCTGTTGAAACGCTGCCGAATTATCTTGGATTTGTCGCGGTACTTATCGGGCTGTAAATTTTATAGAGAAAGCATTTAAATTCGAGCTGCGAATTAGTTCGCAGAAAGTATATATACATATCGATACTCACGAGATAGGAGTCCGGCACTTGAAAGCAGACGCTTTTCTCGCCTTTCGGCACGTAGAGCGGCTCGCAGGGCCGATTGAACAGGAGCAAGAGATTTTTGTTGGCCATTTTTTGCGCGTCGACTGCAACACGGTAGTTACGAAGCTCGAAACTGAAGTTATCGAGATCTTGCATCGCTCATTTATACGCTCGTGCGAGTGGTATATTTCGAATTTTAATAAAACCAAAAATGCAAGCCACACGCACGAGGCTGTGGACAAAAAAAAATTCGTCCTTGTCGGTAGAGAAGTTTTATTTTTAACGAAATTGGGCTATTTTTTGAAAATTTATCTAGAGCTTTTTTTTAGGTAACTTGCGATAATAAAATCTCTAGAAGGTTCAATTAGTGCATTGATTATGATAAGATTCAAGAACAATTTGGTGCGAAAAATATGGATCAAGGACTCGAAATGTATATTAAAAATTTAATGATGATGTATAAAATGAATATAGATATCGACCAATCGCAATATACAGAATTTTATTTAGGAATTAAAATATCAACAAAATTAATATTATTGTCCATCTTTTAAAAATTTAAGAATAAAATATAATTGAGCAAAAAAACTCGTCAACTCGAACTTTTATTCTCAAAAGATGTACGCCTGTGGGTATGTGCTGGTCGTATATGATATAAATTTTTAATTTACATAAAAAAAAGAGGCTTTATAATTTTCTAGAAGGAAGTCAAAGTTTTCACGTAATGGTAGGATTCTTAAAACATTGATAATAAAATTGATTGAATCGTTGAGATTGATCGAATTGAAGGAAACCCATGAATTAAATTATACACGAAACTTGAAAAGGTTGCCTTTCAACAGGCGCTGAGCGAATTCATGTAATATAATCACAGCGGTATACATCTCGTTTAATTTTTTTGTGATCCGTTTCGATGTAAATACGTATTTTAAAATCGTCGGATATTATTACGAAAAACAAAAAGTATCGACGATAATTAATACACATTACGAATTGCGAATAATTTAAAAAACGTATCGATAATTTACATTCTTTCCGTAAATGTATCAAATCGAACAATTTATTGATGCACACGTTTGAGGTGAAAATGAACTGGCATCATTTTTACGATGAATAATGAAATCCCCACAAAGCAACCATTTTATAATATTTCGTCATTTATTTACGTAAAAAGTTTACATGATATATCGAAAAAGAATTCTATTTCATATATTATACATAAATATCCTCAATTCGTGACTATTATCTCTTTGGGTACTTTCAGCGCTTTTACGACCTCGGAAAACTTGACGGTGATCGGCGCCACGTTCATGTTGGGCGTCAAGAAGTCGTGCAGAGACTTCGCGCTCGACTTGGGCTTGCGATCGAACGGATAGCCCATCGGCCGCGCGTCCGGATACTTGCGATCTCTCAAGCCGCAGTAGCTCACGCCTGTGCGACAGGTCGAGTTTACGCTCTGATCGACCTGCAAAAGCATATATATAAAAATTACTATCGTATCCAATTTTTTTATTATTGCTTATGAAATTATCAAAAAAATTCCTATACCCTGTCCAAAGCGTAATCGGACACCATGGCGAAAGCCATCATGGGAAAGCCCTGTACGCCGCCCTTGGGCACGAGCATGTGCTGGGGCCAGCCGCAGCCGCAGAAATTGAACGCCAGGCTTCTCTCGGCGTCGGTCTGGCTGGGCCGGTCCTCGTTCAGATCGCGGAAGGTCGACTCGTACGGGATCGTGATCGACGACTCGTCGGATCTTCTCGTTATGCGATTGAAGCCATTTTTCACTTTAATAAAAAAAAAAAAAATCGATTATAAAAATTACGAGTCTATTATCAAAAACGAATGATAGCTACTCACGCGTAACCGTAAATTTATCCATCTCGATCATCAATCCTCTCTGCTGCTCGAACGTCAGATTATGCCCGAGATCGTCGTGCACCGGACAGATAAAAATCCTCACCGTACCCACGACCTCTCTCCCTGTGTTGTTCCTCACTCCCAGCTCGTAATAAAACGTCTCGTGATTCAGATGCTGTATCTGCACGCTTATGGGCTCTCGCGAGATGAAAGCCAGGCCCCGGGTCATGTCCACCCTGCTCTTGGTCCAGTGAGTCCTCAGTATGTTCTTGTCCGCCTCGGGCGTCTGTATCTCCAGACTCGTCACGTGGACGCCCTGAAACTCGAGCTCGGACTCGGCGTAGGCCGGGAAGCTGTCCTTGAACCTGGCGAACATCTCGTCGATCCAGGCGTGCACCGGATAGAAGGCGGGATCGCGCATCGAGGTGGCCGGGTCGGCTATCGCGGAGAACGACTCGAGATAGCGATGATCGGGATCGTGACAGTAGCCTATGAGCGAGTGCAGATCGTTGTGTATGTCGCCGTAGTAGTCCTTGTTGGGCGTGAGGATACTCGCCTCGAGCATATTGCCCAGTATATCTATACCCGTGACGGCGTCCAGATCGATCACGCGGCCGTCCGAGGCCAGTACCTGGCGCGTCCTCACCGCGTCCTCCACCCGCTTGATGCGCAACTCGAGCTCGCTCAGTCTCACGCGGCTGTTGTCCGCTGGACGATCGAGATCCTGTAATCTGACGTTGGTGGGTCGATCGGCGTAGCCTCGGCCGGCGATACTCGAGTCGAGCTTCGAGTAGTAGGCCTCGAAGATGGGATCGCGCAGGTTCCTCATGCTGCGCACGCAGCCGAGCTTGTTGCTGAGGCGCTCGGCGTTGTATCTGGCCAGAATCTGACGATGCATGTAGTAGAAGAGCTCGCCCCGGCGGTCCTTGTCGACGACCTCGCGGGGACCCTCGAACGGATAGACGAGGTGCCAGTGGTAGTGGTGCACGTTGATGCCGAGATCCTCGCGCCAGTAGGCCACCCGATGCTCCGGATCGGCGTCGCTGGCCGTGTGGTCCATGGGTATCTCTATCGGGCCCTATTGAATGCAATGCGCAGAAAGAAAACAAGATTAAACGAGAGTTTGAAAAATTGAACGAAAAAAGAAGAGAGAGGCTACTCACGATCGGCATGATCAAGGATTCCACCTCGACCTGGCGTATAGCGAAGCTCGGGAAGAATTTATTCGGAAATATTTCACTGAGCGCGGGAATCGATAAATCCTTCGTGTCCGGACGATGAAGTATGGCCACCGATAGGGCGTAGGCGAACAGTTGCGGATTGATGCGATCGTGGCAGTAGGCGGCCAGCGACACCAGATCGTCCACCGTTCGCATTCCTACCGAAAAATTGTTACACTTTATTCGAATTACACGTTTTCGTAAATATTAGTGGGTGAGTTCGGAAGCGATTCAAAGTTTTTTTTTTTGTGATGAGCCAAGTGAGATAACGAATGCTTGACCGATTTTTTGGGTGTTTTAACATTGCAATCTGATGAAAATGACTTTTTGGACAAAAAATAGTAAAGAAGTTACATTCTACTTTCTGTCAATTTTCTAGTAAAAATATGGCAAATGATAATGTTCTTTTACTTTGACAATAAAAAATTTAGCATTACCCTCAAAACTGGCTGAATTTAAAAAGAGATTTTGAAGATAAAAAATATTCAGTGTCTTTTTAATACGATATAATTGAATTTTTAATTTAGAAAACACTTTGTTAAAAGAAAGTTACACTTATGGAATAATAATTAATTCGGCTATACCGATAAAATAATTTTTATGTTAGTTCAAACGTTTATGTTATTTGAATAAAAATTGATACAGTCATTCTATAGTCTTCATCTCTTTCATCGGAGCTCCTTAGAAGCCCCTCAGTTCACTGTACCTATTTTCTCTTACGTCCGTATATCATAATGATTTCATTTTTCATTAAAAAATGTCTTTTAGATTAGTGTTATCGAGCTGAATATGTTTGCTGACGTAACTATATCATTTAAATACTGATATCTAATTTCAGAGGCTTAGCGGAGGGAAAATAGGCACTCACTTTAAAAATTACATACATGGGTACGATTTTTTTCACACATTACCAATAAACAATTTCATCAAGTAGGCGGCGTACTCTCTGTGCGTCGGATTGAAGAGAGAAAACGTCTCGTAGCGACTCAGCGACTCCGGCACCGTCAGATCCGGTATCGCGATTTTTTTCACCGTCACGATGTTGCTCGACATGCTGGTCCAGCGATTGATGATGCCCATGCCTTGTGCCTGATACTCATCTCGCTTAAAGTGGATAATAATCACACGCGTATGTCGACAATGAGTGTTAAGTGACATGTCAATTAAAATATAGTGCAAATAATATAGTTCGAAATTATACCAAGTATTCTTGCGGTATGTCGAAGGACGTGCCCTGATTGCCCTTCGGCACGTAAATCGGCTCCGTGGGCCGGTCGAACATCAACAAGAGATTGCGATTGCTCGACATTTTGGTTTCGAGATTTTTTGGAAAATAAAAAATGTTGGACGATTGCTGCGTGCTTTTTGGCCGGTGAAAAATTTTACGCGCAAATGGGAGCTTGCGACTCGACTGGCAAATATTTATATATAGCTGCAAAAATGCGCCAGGCGAGCACAACACGAGAGATGCGGTATCGATTTCGGATGGCCGCAACTTCCGCGACCAGATTGCATCGTCCTTGGGCTTGTTATTTTGCTTTCTCCAAACGCGTGCACGTGTCGATTTATGCAATTTTGTAAAAATTAGAAATAGATACGAAAAGTAAGCTTTGCAAAAAGTTCAATTTATTCTTTCATTGATGGCACAATTGATACATGGCATATTGGACAAACAAATAATATCATTGTAATACGGGAAGATCTGCACAATTTAGGTGCGATTATTGGTCTGCTGCTTGTTCGATTGGCGCGGCTTGACGGCCCCGGAGAATCTGACGGTGATCTGCTGGGTCTGCATGTTGGGCACGAGGAAGTCGCTGAGATTGACGACACCCTGGCGGGCCACGCGATCGAACGGATAGCCCATGGCGCGGGCGTCCGGGTACTTAAGGTCCCTGAGACCGCAGAAGGACACGCCGTCGCGGCAACCGGTCGGCTGGGCTTGATTCACCTGAGCGATAATCAATATTCAAATTATTCATAGGTTAATTATTTTTCCTTTTTTTCAATTTTTATCTTTCTATACGCACCCTGTCCTGCTCGAAATTCGACACCATGACGAAGAGATCCATCGGGTATCCTTGCCTGGTGCCCTTGGGCACGAGCATGTGCTGCGGCCAGCCGCAGCCGCAGAAGTTGAACTGGTCGAACGACTGAAGATCGCTGGAGTTGGGACGATTGGCCTCGAGATTGCGGAAGGTCGCCTCGAACGGTATGGTCAGCGCCGAGTCGACGGATTGCCTCGTGATGACGTTCTGGCCTCGGTTCACTGTGCGCGAAAAAAAAGATGCAAAAAATCAAGGTCGAAAATTGAAATTTTCAACGCATAATAAAATAATACTCACGCGTCCAGGTGAACTTGTCCATCTCGATCATGAGCATCCTCTGATCGTTGAAGCTCATCTGTCGGCCGGTCTCGTCGAACTTGGGGGCCATGAACAGCCTCACGGTGCCCTGCACCTCGCGATTGTTGGTATTGTTCACCACGACGGTGTACGTGAAATCGTCGTGATTGAGATGCTGCAGTCGGGCCAGGGTCGAGCCGCGCGGCGTGAAGTCGAGGCCGCGCGACAGCTCGACGTCGCTCTTGGACCAGTGGGTGTTGAGGGTGTTGGGATTGCTGCCGGGCGAGTTGACGCGCACGTCCGACACCGAGACGCCGGGAAAGACGAGCTGCTGGGTCGTGTAGGCGGGCAGAGAGTCCTTAAAGAGGGTGAACAGGCTGTCGACGAAGGCGTGCCACCTGTAGAAGACGGGATCGCGCATGGCCGTGGTGGCGTCGCCCATTATCGCGAACGATTCCTGCGAGAATATAATAAATTAATTTCATTCATTCACATTGAAAATTTTGTTATTTTTTTTTTTTTTAAATTACCAAGAAACGATGATCCGGATCGTGGCAGAATGAGATGGCCATGTGCACGAGATTGTGCAAGTCTCCGTAGTACGTAATATCGGGACTGAGAATACTGGCCTCGACCATATTGCCCAGTATATCGATACCTCGCTCCTCGTCAAGGCGCACCGTGCCACCCGACGCCAACCTCGCCTGCCTCGACTGTATGGCCTCGAGGATGCGATCGCGGTAGCGCTCCAGGTCGCTGATGTCGAAGCGCAGCGAGTCCGCCGGCCGATTGATGTCCGACAGTACGAAGCCCGACGGGCGTGCGGGCCAGGCGCGACCCGCCACCTGCTGATCGAGCTTGGGGAAGTAGGCCTCGGGGATGGGCTCGCGGAAGTTGTTGAGGCGCGAGACCTGCGGCAGGCCGTTGCACAAACGCTCGATGTTGTAGCGAGCCATGATCTGACGATGCATGTAGTAGAAGAGCTCGCCGCGGCGGTCCTTGTTGACTGCGACGCGGGGCCCGTCGAACGGGTAGACGAGGTGCCAGTGCCAGTGGTGGAGATTGACGCCGACGTCCTCGCGCCAGTAGGCCACTCGGTGCTCGGGGTCGGCGTCGGTGGCCGTGTAGTCGAGCGGGATCTCGATCGGGGTCTGCGTACGATCGATTATTAATTTAACTAATAATGGTCGTACGATGTATTTATGCATCGAGGAAAATGTAACATAGTAAAATTTGTTATAGGGTAGTCAGACCAATCAATGACCGGGTACCAGTGAATGACCATTTTAGAAAATATCATGACGTAATTCAATCCTTTAGTAAACGATGCATCTTGTTTTCTATGTTCGATCATAATTTAAGAAGGAAAAACGATAATTATTGCATATCCAAAAGTGATCATTTATTGGTCGAAAGTGGTCAATCACTCGTATAAGTACCTTTACATGAAAATTTTTGAGAAAGATCGATCGGTTACTATTTGAACATAGATAGTAATTGTTCTCTTATCGAGTTATACGTACGCGAGATCCAGCCGGCACCACGTTGGCCTCCTCCCTGGCCCGATGGAATATCGAGCTCTCCATGTACTTGTCCGGGAAGATCTCGGCCAGCTGGGGCACCGACAGGTGCTTGGTGTCCGGCCGATGCAGTATGGCCACCGACAGCGAGTAGACGAACATCTGGGCGTTGACGCGATCGCGACAGTAGGCCGCCAGGGACACGAGATCCTCCAGCGTCCTCATGCCCATGAAGAGCTCGGTGAGCCTGGTGGCCATCTTGCGATGGGCCGGCAGGAAGTGCGAGAAGGTCTCGCGACGGCTCAGGCTCAGCGGCACGCTCAGATCCGGTATGGCGATGTTCTTGATCGGCACGGAGGAGAGCGCGTCGTTGCCGAAACGATTGAGAATGCGGTCGCCGATGTCTTTGTATCTTTCCGGCTGCGGAAATTAGTAAAAATGTCAAATTCGTTCTAGCGTTGTGGCGCGCAGGTATTTGATACAAAATGTTCTTTAAATCGGTAAATGAAGGCATTTAATTGTGCCAAATAAATAAAGTTATCCGGCAGACATGAGTTGGTGAGAGGTTCGACTTTCGTAATCAGCAACTGTCAGCTTTATTTAGGAAGTTACGTCATAGCCAAATTGAGAATCATAAATCAGTACGATTTCACTAAAGAGAAATCATCGCTATCCAGCGAATATGATCCGGTAAAAAGTTTATCTTTCTTTGTCCCAGCTGATATCGTATCTTTCTTCGAACACTTCAAATTACAACGAGCTAAGATTACGTTATTGCTTATCGCCGAAAAAGTGAAATCGAAAATAGAAGATTCGATTGGGAGAACATAAATTGTTAAAAAGTAACTTTTCGAAAATGAGTCACGAGCTGATAATTTTAAAGCGACATCGACCTTGCGCGCGTGATTGTGACCTTGAATTTTGAAATAGGCAAAGTATGAGGCAATTTTTTTGTACTGTTTTCAAAACTATACCAATTAAGATTTTAAAGAGCTCATAAAAATTTTCAAATGAATTTATAATACGATTTTGGAGCTTGTAAGAGTTTACAACAAATTATATTATTAGATTTTGCATCGCTTAACAGTCTGAAACGAATTTAATATCATTGCAAATTAGATAGTATTATTAATAGGCAAAACATTTTTTACATATTTGATTTAATCGAAAATCAAAAAATTCAAATAAAAAAATTAATTTAATCTTCAAAAAAGTATCAAAAGAAGGAGTACCAACGTCACGCGGGGTTCCCAGGCGGTCACCCATCCAAGTACTAACCGCGCTCAACTTTGCTTAACTTCAGTGATCGGACGAGAACTGGTGCTTTCAAAGTGATGTGGACGTTGACGACTTACAATGATCGGAGCACCAAAAAATTTGGAGCAAATTTTACTTTACTATTTCACGACACATCCAAAATTTTAGTTCATTTCGCGACACATTTATGCAAGAACTTGAGAAAATTTTATGGTACAATTTTAGAGGGCTTGATAATAATTCGAAACAAAATTTTTTATACGATTGTAGAATCCTTTATAATTTACAAAATTTTCATATCCACCCTTTACCTTCAGATGCAAGAATATTTTATTTTTTATCGAAGACTTTTGTCATACGTATAAAATCGCGTGTACACCTCTTTCAACATTTCATGGCTAGTTTTGGTTATTCTTTGACTACATAAACTTCGTGAAATTTACCCCTCTTACACGACCTCATTAGCAATTTTCCTAATTGAATTTTACCATGTCAATGCTAAACAAATCAAGAATGGCTAATTTTAAAAAATATAGTCATTTTTAAAAATTGTGCTAAGACTTATAAAATTATTTTTACAGAAGCTCTTTCTCAATGGTATTACAATTTGTAACGTCTTATTTGTATGCGTACTTTGACTTTGCCACTTGCAGATTTGCAGACTAAGGACCACTCGCCATCTAGTAGTGGAGCCTAGAGGCTTAAAGTAGTGTCACCGCATTCAAAATGATTGAAAACTTGTCTAAATTTTTTTAACTAAATAAATCATTCAAAATAAACTTAATAATTGTAAAATAATTAGAAAAACTGTCAAAAACAAGACAATTAAAGATAATTGAAAACAGTCTTAATCGTAATATTTTATTCATTTGACCACTATTAATTTTGAGAATTTTTATCAGAGTAAAACAAAGCCTCAGTGCGTCAGCATTAACACATCTAATAGCAATCAAGGTAAAAAGATCGTACACAAAATCCCAATTTATAATTTCGGAGCTATATAATCTGAATATTCGAAACAATATTCCTATCATTTCCACAGCTATAGGTGAGAAAATTGATATTAAAAATAAAATAGTCAGTTTTGAAAATCTCTTTTAAAAAAATATTTTCCACTCTAGCGTTTTCCAAAAATATTTATTTCGAGACTTAATCGGCCGAAAACATATTATATTTCCCGTATGCGTGTACCTACCAAATAGTTCGACGGGATATCAAAGCTGATGCGATTTTCGCCTTTGGGCACGTAAACCGGCTCGTACGGGCGATCGAACAAAAGAAGCAGACTTTTTTCCATTTGAGCCATTGTTACGCGAGATGATAAAAATCAAACAACAACAACGGTAAAAACAAAAAAAAAAACGAAAAATCGACTACGCACAACGACAAACGAACTTTTTCCTTCTAAATATTACTGTTTCCGATTCGGAAAAATAACGAAGACTGATCGATGACTCGGACAGATGCAGCGACTTTATATACACGCTCACGAGATGCACATTCGCGCGCGCGCTTCCTGCGAGAGCCGAGTCGAGGCCGCGAAAGCACCGCATATTTCCGCTCTTTGATACCGTGCAGCATATACGGTGGGTCAGTTTTTTATTCGCGTTCGCACGCTTTCGGCATCCACGCCGATAGGATATATTATTGTTTCGCTCCGTCGAAAAATTCAGCCTTATCATTTTTCGCTCAATTATCAGAAAAATGAAAAAAAAAAAGAACCATCGTTATCGTTCAGATTTGCATACGCTTTATTGAATATTCATCGATACAACAACAACCATTGTAGCTCAGTATTGACGGAAATTATTATTCATATTGCGATTATTGTTGTTGAAATTATTGTTGCCGTTGTTGTTGTTGGCCGGCCTCGAGACGGCTCTCGGCTTGACGATGTTGGAGAAGCGCACGGTGACCTGCTGCACCTTCATGTTCGGCGTGACGAAGTCCCGGAGCAGTCGCACGTTGGCGGCTCCCGCCCGATCGAACGGGAAGCCCATCGCACGACGATCCGGATACTTGAGATCTCGCAGGCCGCAGAAGCTCACGCCGTTGCGGCAGCCCGACGGCTCGGCTTGGTCGATCTATATGCGAATAAAATATTTTTTAAATAATAAATAAATGAAGTAATTTTAGAAAATTAAAAAAATTAAAAAAAAAAATGATCACCTTGTCGAGTTGGAAATTGGTGATCATGACGAAGAGCTCCATGGGATAGCCCTGCTGCGTGCCCTTGGGCACGAGCATGTGCTGGGGCCAGCCGCAGCCGCAGAAATTGAATCGATCGCTGCCCTGCAGATCGGTCTCGTCGGGCCTGCCCTCGTCGAGATTGCGGAAGGTCGCCTCGAACGGTATGGTGAGTGCCGACTCGGTCGAGGCTCTCGTGATGACGTTGCGGCCGTTGTTTACTGAAAATTTTTCACAATATGACAAAAAAAAAATTATAAAAATTGTTATATTACAACGTCGACTCACGATTGGCCGTGAACTTGTCCATCTCGATCATCATGAGCCTCTGCTCGTTGAAGCTCAGCAGCGAGCCCTGCTCGTTGAACTTGGGCGCGATGAAGACTCTCACGGTGCCTATGGCCGGTCTACCGCTGTTGTTGTTCACGCCGATGCTGTAGGTGAATTCGTCGTGATTCAGATGCGTGATCCTCACCAGGGTCGAGCCGCGCGGCGCGAAATCCAGTCCGCGCGACAGATCGATGTCGCTCTTGGTCCAGTGGGTGCTCAACGTATTGGGATTGCTGCCGGGCGAGTTCACCCTGACCTCGGTCACCTGAATGCCGGCGAAGCCCAGCTGCTGCTGGCTGTAGGGCTGCAGCGTGGCCTTGTACATGTTGAACAAGTCGTCGACGAATCCGTGCACCCGATAGAAGATGGGGTCGCGCATCGCCGTGGTGTTGTCGCCCATGACGCCGAACGACTCGAGGAAGCGATGATCCGGATCGTGACAGTAGGAGATGGCCAGGTGGAGAAAGTTGTGCATGTCGCCGTAGTATGCCTGATTCGGATTCAGGATGCTCGACTCGATCATGTTGCCGAGGGTGTCGATGCCGCGCTCCTCGTCGAGCGGCTGGAACTGGCCGTTGGGCAGCAGGACTCGGCGCGTCCTGATGGCCTCGACGATGCGATCCTTGAAGCGCACGATGTCGTCGATGGAGAACTTGAGCTGGTCGACCTTGCGATCGAGATCCGAGAGGACGAAGTCCTTGGGTCGGGCCGGCCAGGATCTACCGGCGACCATGGAGTCGAGCTTGGGGAAGTAGGCCTCGGGGATGGTGGCTTTGAGATCCGAGAGGGGCACGACTCGGCGCAGACCGTTGCAGAGGCGCTCGGTGTTGTAGCGGGCCTGCATCTGGTGGTGCATGTAGTAGAAGAGCTCGCCGCGGCGGTCCTTGTTGACGACGACGATGGGCCCGTCGAACGGGTAGACCAGATGCCAGTGCCAGTGATTGAGATTGACGCCGACGTCCTCGCGCCAATAAGCCACCCTGTGCTCCGGGTCGACGTCCGTGGCCGTGTAATCCAAGGGAATTTCAATGGGCGTCCTCGAGCCGGCCGGCACCACGTTTGCCTCCTCCCTGGCCCGATGAAACACCGAGCTGTCCATGTACTTGTCCGGGAAGATCTCCGAGTGGTGGGGCAGCGAGACGTCGCTCATGTCGCGCCGGTGCACGATGGCCACCGACAGCGCGTAATAGAACAGCTGCAGATTCAGTCGGTCGCGGCAGTAGGCCGCCAGAGACATGAGATCCTCGACGGTGCGCATGCCGAGGAACAGCTCGACGAGGCGGCCGGCCATGCGACGATGGGACGGTATGAGATGGGAGAAGCCGTCGTTGCGGCCGAGCTGCATGGGCAGGCTCAGATCGGGTATGGAGATGTTCTTGAGGCCGACGGTGCGTTGGGAGTCGGCGCCGAAGCGGTTGAGGATGCGGCCGGCCACGGGTTGATACTTGTCCGACTGTTGAACGACGTTGTTGCGATGAGAATTCGTGGGACGCGATATGCGCAACCCGAAGTTTTTTTGTTAACTTACCAAGTAATTGGTCGGGATGTCGAAGCCGACGCGCTCCTCGCCCTTGGGTATGAAGAGCGGCTCCTGGGGCCTGTCGAACAGCAGCAGAATGTCCTTTCCCGTTGACGAAGACATGTCGATTGATTTTTCGATGATTCGTGGCTTGCGAACACTTTGTGTGAAAAGACTTCGAGCGAGAGTCAATCAGCGACGACTGCGAGTCGCTGAATGATGACCGATTTGCCTATTGCGCCTAGTATTTATATTAGATCATGCCGTGCCGAATTGTTTTGCGGTATTATTATGCGCTGATAGTGCGTATACAGATGTGTGTGCCTACGAGAGCTTCTGCCCAAAAAATCGTCAAAGTTGCTATGACAATTGAAAAGCCTTGAATAGACCATTTCCTGTTTGTGTTTGCAGTTTTTTTTTCTCGACACGTGTCAATAAACATTTCTAGTCGAGGCTTCATGGAATATTACATTATGCGATCGAGCGTAAGGCCATCATCAAAGAGCTTCACCGGTTACATTATCAAAGCGTTATACTTCAGCTATTTGTTTTCAGTTTAAATGAGTAATATTGCAAATTAATGAAATAATTTGATAAATTAATTAGCAGCCTAAATTTTAAGGATCCCTGATAAATATTTAATTTAGCTTAAATACAGTTATTTGCGATTTATCCTGTAAAAAACTTAATAGTACTTCGCGATGTAATCTTCTCATTCGAAATATTCCATCAATGTTTACTTTCTGAAAAGTTCGTATAACTAAGCTTAATTTTCCGGGATAATCCAAATGCACGAGCGAAAGCTCCGACAGCAGCAGCGGCTTCGCGATTAGTGGATTGATTCGAAATATTTGCCGCGTTTCAACGAAGCAGATTTATTTTATATAAAGTTTAAAAGCTGATTTTGACCAGTGAGTTGAAACGGTATACGAGGAAACGAAATCGACGTACGCGCGCGTTTTGATATAAATTCCAGTCACGCGTAAATAGAGGAAAAAAGCTCGGCTCGCGTTGCGATGCGCGCACTAAAGGTGAAACAAACGCGGATTCGTACGTTTCAGCCTTTTTTTTTTTTGAAAAAAAAGAGAAAAAAAAATTCCCTCACACGAAACGCGGAGATCGCGTTCTCTAATCTAATTTATACGTTGCTGGATTAAGGCGTCGCGGTGAATTAACGATTCTCTTATACGGCGTGAAAAAAGGAGTAAGTCGAGCGCGTGGGTTCGTATATACACGCACTCGACGAGGTAGTACCGAGTTAACGCCCGCATCTCTCTAGGACGAGGAAAAAAAAGAAAAAAGAAACGAAGGAAAAGCGACGATGAAAAGCAAACGAGAGAGAGAGAGAGCCGCTGCCGATGAGTTTGAAATAGCTGCCGATAAGCGTTAACGCGTATACTGTAGTAGCGCGAGCGGTCAAAGGATTTAATTTCTTTTCATACACGTCGTCTTTTTAGACCCGCAGGCGCGCGTTTGCATGTGTAGAGGCACGTGAACTACAGTGTGCAGCATGTGTGTAAGCAAAGATTTCGCGCGCGCGAAAAAAATAGAGAAGAGAGAAGTGAAAAATCTGACCCGGGCAGCTTTGCTATACTCGAGGAATCGATTTAATTGCGTAAATATTTTAAATCAACTCACGCGCGCGCGCGCCAGAACCAAAAGTTAATTAAATGGGATTCTCGAATGAATGCGCGCGCTAGTGAGAGAGAGTTTCATTCGCTGCTGCGTGCGGGAATCATATTTTCTTCGTTAAAACGTATATACGAACGCGCGCGTGAATTACAAGTTCCAAACGCTCTCGCTTCATTAACTTCTTAAATATTTATTCCTTTTTCCGATGCATACCACGGGCCTCGTATATAGAGTCGTGAAGTGCGAGTGAATATCCTCGGTATATCAACGATGACGCAATGAAAAAGCTGGGTTATGAAAAAAAAGAGGAGGTTTGCGAATGAAATAAAGATTCGTAACTCGAGTCGGATATTGGTAAAAATGCTCTTACGCTATTTATTGGTATATATAGTTTTCTTTTATCTTTTTTGTTTGTACATTCATACACAGTTTTGTTTTATTCGTTATACAAAGAAAGATACTTTTTTATTTTCTCTCTTAACGCCCTAAAAAATCCACATCGATGCAGATGCACAGATATATATATATAATGTAAATGTATACATCGTTTAATGAACGTTACAGTATTTGCTCCTTGATTAAAATCGGGTTTACAGATAAAACGTCCACCGCAATACACGTCTATGTACAAATAAAAACAAAAAAAAAAGAAAAGAAAGAAAGAAGAGAGTTACAGCAAAACAACAATATATACGTCTTATTTAATCAGTCGTTGAACGCGAGCACTCTCGAGTTTCTCTCTCTCTCTCTCTCTCTCCCTATCTCTTCTCCGGCCATTTTCTAAAGAAAGGACCATACGGGTCTATCTCGGCATTTGGCACTGGTCCGGCAGTATTCGACAGTTTCTTCTTCCGCGTACTCGTCGTCGTCCAAGTCCTCCACCTCCTCCTCCTCCTCCTCCTCCAGTAGCTCCGCGTCGTCGGCTATCCACTTGCCGTGGCAGTGCTTGAGCCCCTCGGCCGTGGAGCCCCTCAGCTCCCATCTGCCAATACCTCGGAGACTTCGTCTGTCTAGTTGACACGACGACGCGGTAGTAGTAGACGACGTCTCCTTCGGTCTACTGTTACTGCTGCTGCTGCTGCTGCTGGTCCCCGAAGCATTGCTGCCACCGCCGCCGCCGCACCAGACGCACACTCGGAAACCTGCAATCACGTAGAGTTCGAATTTAGCATGTATATATAGTATCTCGTGCAGCCCGCACAGCGTCAAATATTGCGTGCCTGTACGAGGGCTAGCTATATACATATACGCGCACATTCATATTTTCCAAGTTATACAGCTACCACGATGTGTGTGCCGATATAAACGTATACGTACAGCAGCGCACGGTATATACGAGCCATGTTCGACGAAGTGGTGCCCCCCTTCAACGACGCAATGCATGGCATGCGGTATGCACGCCGCAACTTTATCGCTTTGACACAACGTCGTGATAAATCAATACACCCCGCGCGCGTATGTATACACGGAAAACGAGGAATGACGCGCCAGAGATTGCGTGTGTGTGTTTTATAATACAAAAATCCGACGCGAGTACTGTACGGTAACGAGATGAGATGTTTTTTTTTTTTTATTTTTGCGTCGAATCTTNCCCCCCCCCCCCCCCCCCCCAGCTACCATTGAAGCACTCGACGACGATGACTACAGAGAGATATAAAGTTCTCCTCGCGCGCGCGTACCCCGAGAAAGTGCAAATCCAATTGATCCCGATGGAGCGCGGCGGCAGCGGCGCGCTATATCCGTAATAAACCCCTATGCAATTTTCGCCGCGGCACGTATTGGCGTAGCAAATCTTTGATAGAGCTTATACATACATACACGTACATACACACACACATACACGTAGATAAAGGGAAGTTACAGGCGCGTCGAGAGGCAGTTAGCTTCCTCCGCGTCTTAACTCCTGTGTCTTCCTTTGTAAGTCTATCTCTCCCTACCTATTCTTCCCCTCTCGCGCGACAATCTCTCTCTTTCTTACAGTCGGACAACATGCGCGCGGGGCTCTGACAAGCGTTGAGGTAATTTCCTCCCTCCTTACCTCGTTCGTTCGTTCGTACTACTACTACTACTACCCGCCTCGTGAATATACATATAGTCAACGGCAAACGAGTACAGCTTGTATAAGATGGCATGGAGTATATATGCCCTTTTGTCGCATGCAAATTCAAGCCGATAAGTGGAGTGCTGCTAGGCAGAGTCAGGCGGGCACACACAGTTGCGTTTATAAAGCCCTCCGGCGAGGCGCGCAAGAGCTAAGTAGTTTATATGTACGTGTACGAGTGTGCGTGTGCCGGAGACAGACTCGAGAATAAGAGCTAATGCTAATATACGTATAGGTAATGGTATACAGCTCGGTAAGAGAGAGAGAAAAAGACCTTATTATTAATGCTTCGCTACTATTTATGGGCTTCGGTAATGAACCCAGACACAGCCGCGCGTACACACGAATGAAGAGAGAGAGAGACTCGCGCGGTTGAATTAGCATACTTTATGAGGCACTGCGGAAAAATTTTTCAATACGCCCGATGCAGTTGCGAAAATTTGTAATCGACGCGTTTTATTATTATTATCATCATCCGTCTGATACGCCAGATGGCAACGAAATGGAAATTTTGCGGAGCTTGCGCGTTATCGTTATTATTATACAGCCATTGCCGCTGCCGCTGCCGCCGCTGCTGCTGCGAGCGTTAATTGATACGTAAATATTATAATATCGATGCGCGTCGCGCGCCGCGTGAAATATTATGCGAATCATTGAAAATTTCGAATATCGCGCATCGTTTATATGCACAGGCGGCGAGACGGGGGGAGAGGTGCAGAAATCGCTCGATGAAAGAGAAACGACTACGCATTAATATATTTAAATGTCACAATGCCCCTCCGGCTGTACAGTCAGTCGGTAGAAAAGTGGAGCTTGCAAGCTCCCACGCGCGCGGGGATCTTACACTCTATATACGAGTACTATATAAAATATCAACGTCTGCGCGCGAATCATGAATATTTCATGCGTCACGAGAGCTTGCGCGCGCGCTAAGAGTAATTGTCCGATTGCCGAGACGAGTCGCGCGCGCGCGCTGCCTCTTATAATGCCAATTTTGAAATTATTCAAAGTATAGCGCGCACTGCTGTACCTCGATATACCCCCGTGTATTATGTATATTTATGTTTATTTGTTCTCTTTGCGCGCTCGAGACGGAAATCGTTCGAGAGTTTATGTGCACGAGCGATTTCTTTGGCGCTGTTTATACGTGCGTGCCGGGAGAAATTTATAAACGCATCTTGGTAACGCGATTCAAATATAAACGAGGGAAGAGAGAGAAACGTTTTGTAAATACAACTTTTGCACACGTACCTTCGTGAAAATATTTTCTGCGGCAACCCTTGGAGACTTTTAATACCGTGAATGCCGTGCAGTACCTGAAAAGAGAAGCAAAGAACATTTTATTAAAATTATCGCACTGCCTATACTTCAAAATCTCAATAGAAATATTACTCGAGAGAGTAAGCAACTTCAGTTTTAGCAGATTTACGCGATTCGCTTCATTAATTAGTCGAGTAAATAGCTCGGTTGAGGTATACGGCGTTGTAGTTGAGTAGTATACTCCACAAATTTCGATTTGATATTTCTTTTTTTTCTTCCCAAGAACGTCGAGTTATGAATTCATAAGAATTCGCGCTGAGTGCGAAGGTGGCACAACGTGCTCGGTTTCGGCGACACGATAATTTTTTTAAAGATTTTTCAAGACAAGTTTAGGAGAGTAATAGTAGATTACACATGATTGATGCGATGATAAATATCTGCTCGTGATTGATTAAGCGAAGATAGTTTGCCGTGTCGTCGCTAGGTGGCACAAATTAAATAATTGTAATAAACGTAAACAAAGTAGTAAATTTGAGCAGTTAAGTAGTTTACTGTTCTTTCTATTTCTATTCGCTTATATTATGTAAAATAACAAATGTTGAAATTTATGATCTCATCATCCTGGGAAACAACTCGTTGAAAAGTGTTAAAATTTGCGTTAGTTGTTCAGAGCAATGCACGTAGAGCACCATATAGAACGTTTTTTCGAAATTCAGAATAAAACAATAGATAGAATAAATTCAATTTTTGATTCTCGGTGTGCTAAAAAAGAGTCCTCGGTGTCTCCTTAGTTACCAAGGGTATATGTCCCAGCCCCCCGACTGTTATGCACCGAGCTCTGAAAATACAAACTCGAATAACTTTAGAGATTCGATTCGGAATCGGAGTATTCGATGCGCACTGACGCTTGCATTGGTCGTAATCGTACCCAATCTATGTAAATGTTAAAGATTACGAAGAAGCAGCTCATATTACAATGTCTGTGAGCCGTCATATATGTATCTCTGTCTCTCTCTTGCAGCGGCCGCTTGCCTCGAGCTACTCTCTCCGCGTCCAGCGTCACGCTTAGATCTAATTTAGAAAGCTTACATCCAGCGCATCGGTTCTATTTTAATTATTCCTGCGACTTCCCCGAATTTTCGATTTCTAATCATTACCAAATTAAGCAGCGCCAGCCATAAAAAATATCACGCTCACGTGTATATCTTATAAGTTCGTCCACATATGTGTTTGCCTACACTGTATGTAGTCTCAGTACACGTTGTAACTCTGCAGCGTAAACAGAGGTAGATCGCATCGACTTCCGCGACTAATTTTCTTGTAAAAAACGAAATAAATAAAATAAAAAAGTATATTAAACTGTGATTGTGTGTTGTGCGCGAGTGTGCAGAAACAGAATTACCCTTGAAACCATGGATGATTTTGCGACGACGATCTACACACAAAAACTAATGGACAGTTTAAAGAGCTTACGCTTGAAGAAAACATGGAAGAGTTTGGTAATGAAACAATCGTACGATCTCGATGAATTCTATTACTTGTTCGTGCATTGGAAGGTCCAACTCCCGAATTTCCGAGATATTTTTCGCAAGGAAGAAATGGATCGACTTCTCTCGGAGTCGATAAAATACTTGGAACGTCGACCGATTCGAGGACGATTCATCGTCGATTTCGTGGCTCGCAGCGGCTACAAGGACGAGCCTCGAGTCGACGAGAAAGGCAAGCCGATACTGCGTCGCACCACCGCGTTGCATCTCGCGGCTAGACTCGAGCCCAGCTCCGACTTTTTGCCCGTGATCAGGCAGCTCTTTCGGATTTACGACAAGTTCGGCGCGAATTACAGCGACGAGTCGGGCGTGACGCATTTCCACGTGGCCTGCAGGTTCAACTGTTACGACGTCGTCGAGAAATTCCTCGAGCTCGGTCAAGATCCCAATTGCCTCCTCGACGCGAATACGGTAGATCCACCGTTGATTTTGGCTCTGGATCAACGCCACAAGCGACTGGCCGAGCTGCTGCTGAGGAGGGGCGCGAACGCGAGCTTGGCCAACGCCAAGGGACGCACTGCTCTGCACGTCGTTTGCCGAATGAACGAGGACGCGGGCTTCGTGGAGACGTTCTTCCGGATAGTCGACGAGGAGCGTCAGACGCCGCTTATTATCAACGCCAAGGACGAGGAGGGCCGGACGGCGCTGCACTGGGCGGCGATGCACGACAACGGGAGGGCGATCGAATCGCTGTTGACGAGGGGCGCCGATGTAAACTCGGCCGACTGCAAGGGCGCGACTCCGCTGCATCTTCTTTGCAAGGGCAAACGACGCGACGACGATTTGGCACGGAGATTCTTCGAGCTCGGCGACGCGCTCGGTCGGTCGGTGCGGGTCGACGTCCAGGACTCGATGCGTGACACACCGTTGCATTTGGCTCTGGCCAACGGTCACAGGGCGATGGTCGGGTTGCTGCTGAGACGAGGCGCCCATCCCAATCTGGCCAACTCGAAAAACGCGACGCCGCTGGATATTTGCCTCGGAAACGGAGACGAGGACTTGGTGAGGGCGTTCTTCGAGATCGACGACGAATTGGATCAAGGGATGGCGCAGATCGACGTCTGGAGGGGCTTGACGCGGACGGCGCTTCGATGGGCCCTGACGAATCTCAAGCCGCTCGCTCTCCACGCACTCTTGCATCGCGGCGCCGATCTAGCCAGTTTCGTTTTTCCGACTTGCCGTGACTTCGCCGCGGGCTGCGAATCGTGCGCCGGCCTCAAACTGTTCCTGGCCTCTAGAATTCTGGCCTGCGTCGAAATTCTCGAGAGCCGAGGATACGAGCTCGACCAACGAGCCGCTCTGACGATCATGGAATTGTTCGCCAAGCACGAGCTGTTCGAGCAGTCGGACGTGGATCTCGAGGAACGTCTGCGTACCCAGGCGGACTTCGCGCGAGCGGCGAGAAGAGTAACGATTGGTCCGAGTCTGTCGCTCCGCGACTTGATTCCGTTGCGAGCCGAGGAGGCGGCGCGACGACTCGCCTACTCGAACTATCTGCAGTTGCAGGTGGAATTGCCGATAATGCTGCCCAGAGAGTACGGCAGGCTCTGCATCGCGCATCTGTGCGAGAAGATGTCGAGAGGATTTTTTCGCGCCTGTGCCCTGGAACCTGTCATGCGGCTGACGCGCTGCCGACTGCCGACGCACTGCTGCGAAACGATCGTCGACCAGCTGAACAATCGAGATTTGCGTAATATTTGCATCGCTGCGGCGGCTGCGGACCACGACTCTTGGAAGATACTTGATCGCAGATTTGTTTTGTTTTTTATCTTTTGTTTCTGTTTATTTTGCATAATTAAATATTTTCTATAATTTTTATAATAAACTTGAAAAAAAAGTGAATATCGAGTACCAAATTCTACATTCCATCTTATTATTCCCAAATACATCCAAGACACGCGAGTCGTAGCTCTCTCGGTGTGGATAAACGTACCTTGCGATATGCATCATATATAATATAAACGCGACGCATCCGCTACTTACATTAAACTACGCCTCCAAGAGAAGTGGTTTGTTTTACCCGTCTATTATGCATAATTATATACCCCCCCTCATCCGACGAGAGTTGCCACGTCGGCGGCGGCGGCGCCTGTATGACTCGCGCGAATTTTCGATTAGAAATTTTACTCCATAAGTACGCGCTGCAGAGCGCCAACAACAACAACAACAACAACAACAACGAGATATGCATAATTGAGACTCACTCGGTTGCATACGTATATTATTATGTAGGCGTATCGCGTCATGTATATAGTTGCCCCGCATCGCTTAACGCTGTAAGGCATTATAATACAAACGCCAAGAACTCGAATGGAGTTTCGTCAAGCCGTATTAATATCCATGCAGCTGTGTGTGTGTGTAGTTAAGTTGCTACGAAGTAAGCCGCAAAATTTGACATTAATTTTCAGCGCGTCGCGTCGCGCGCCGATCTCTCTCGCTCGCTCGAAAGAATTGAATTCGTGCGGCGTGTATGCGTCGTGGATGGTGAAGTTCGAAGGAACGATTGTTTTGTCATATTTCCGAGTTCGTATGACAAAAATTGAGACGGATATATAGTGCTTTTAGTCGAACGAGAGTGAATTTGTCGACTTGAATTCGCTTGATACGTGCGCACGTCGTTCGATCAATCAATTCGTCAAAGAAATGCCATCGATTCGAGTCGATAATTTACACTTTTGAAAATCTCCCTTTTACCTTATCAATAAAAAGTTAACATAACGCGAAAGATTCCATTGTCTGCGCAGCGTAGCAGCTCCCTTTCTACGCGCGCCCCGCCAGCGCACGTCCATTATCTTCATACGCTTCAATTTGTCTATTTCCACTGGAATAAATTTGAATATACCCGCGCCCCAAGCCCGCGAATAAGAATAAATAAATATAGACGAAATATCTTTATATATACGAAAATATATGATATAATGGTTGATTGTGAGCATTGTGACGCGCGTCGTGTCTGCGCTACATATAAGAGCCACCACCATCGTCATCGCGTTGAACAAATACAATATATATTTCTTATGTACTTTATTGTAGCTTCGCAGCATCGAATCTTTTGAGCGAGTGCGTCGAAGAGCCCGGAAAATTTCCCGGCCCTTTTATCGAAAACTTTATAGCTACTATTTTAAGTAAAGATCGATATTACGAAGTTTCGCCGAGACCCAACACAAATTAGTCTTTGCCTCTCGCGCTTAATTGAGTCGATAAAATTAGGCGTGTCGCTTTTATGGAATAATAAAAAAATATATATATTATAACCCAAGAAGAGACGGTAACTTCTTCTTCTTCTTCTTCTTTTTTGTGTAGCGGCGAATTTTCAAATATTCATAATGCCTTGATTAAAAAGTTTCTCTTGTGTGTGTGTGTGCTGCTGCGCTGCGCCGAGCTAGCTACATCTCTCTCTCGGAGTCGCTAATAAAATTACATAAATGCCGTCATACGTAATCGACTGAATTATGATCGTATTAAGGCAGCAGAACAGCGCACCGTATATATAGCTAGAGACGAGACGCGCGGAGGCAAAAAATGCGGTAGGTAAGGTACATAAGCTTAAAGCCCGGAGAGAGAGAGAGAGAACTTACCCTCGAGAAACTCGTGGAACGAAGTTTGAGTGCAAACTTGCAACGTCATTGTCGTTAGATGTACCAGCAGCTACGTCGTCGTCGTCGACGGTGGCTCTGGCTCCGGCTCCGGCGCTTTTACTCGACGTGGAAAAGCTGCTCGTATCTGCGGAAAATTTTGAAATCTTCGTCACTACTATATACCTGCGCCTCTTCTGCCTGTATTATATTATATTATGTATGTATGTATGTATGTATGTGCGTCGTGTGCAGTACACACTATACAGGCGAGGTTGCCTGCGTGATTAATTAGATTCCAGCCTTACACGCGGTATTAACTCCGACGCGCTCACGCTCGGGCGAAGTTTCCATAAATAAACTCGTTTGTGCGCGCGCGCGTGTGTGAAGCGCGAGAAAGAGAACCAAAACGAGGGCGACTATTGCATTATAACGCAGAGAGAAAGTAAAAAAAATAAAAAAAAACTAATAAATATAAGTGTGTCGAGACGAACCTTGAACGTAAAAATGATGCGATCGACGTCTGCAGCGATCGTAGCTCTCGCAGTCGGCCCGCTCCTCCAAAGTCGGGCAGGCCTTGCCGCCGTTGCGCGGCGCCGCGAGGACGAGGCGCGCGCGGCTCCGCGAGCCGGTGCCGCACCTGTTGTCGCAGGCGCTCCAGGCGCTCCAGTCGCCGACCAAGCAGTCGCTCGCTGCAGACAGACAAACGGACAGAGTTGGATCAGACGTAATGATAATATTGTTATGTCATATTTTTCGTATCTTCTTGTTTTCACCGAGTAAACTTGCAGTGACGTGGGTATGAATCCAACGTGGATATACAGGAATGATAGGTTAAATTCATGATATCACAACAACTATAGAAAACTGCAAATTTTTATAGAATCGTGCTTTAACTTATACAATTATTTTGTTTTTGCCACTTGCAGATTTACATCTAAAGGTACACTCACCATCTAGTGGTGGAGACTCAAAGTAGTATTATCGAATTTAAAGTCGTTGAAAATTACCGTCGATATTTTGAAACAGGTTAAATCGTCGTTTAAAACGCGTTTAATATTCGCGAAATAATTCTAACGAAAAAATCGGCAAAAACGAGTTCATCGATGGCAATGTACCCATTTTTACCAGGATCATGCTACGTACGTAACAAAACCGATCGTGTCTGGAGAGTTCGGGATCAGCGCTTCGGGGCCGCGCGATTAATAAAGATCTTTAAAGCGAAGGGGGGCAATTAGTGCTCGGCAGCGCTGCACACCCCTTATCGACTCCATATATATAAGCTCCGAAATTCGCTTCTTCATTAATCTTAATCCGCTCGTGTCCGCGGCGCGTGTATATAATGTTTTAAGTGCGAATCAATATAGTGTCTGCGCGCGTCGATATAGATATAACGATCATAATTATTTTATACACAGCTTGTACACCGATGCGCGTCGGGTCTCGATCCCCCAGGGGGGTGAGGAGTTAATTTTAGAGCCTCTCCATACTCCGTGGAGATTATATACTCGACGAATAAAACATCTTTCGCTGCTTTATTCATTGCGACGAACGGCGGATACGATAATGAATGGCTTCAGCCGAAAATTATTTATCGTTCTTTTCGATTTCACGATCTATGTACATTAAATTATTATCCTGTAACGTGTGTTTGCTCGAAGCAACATCAACATTAGTTAGTTAAGAAAACTCAAGTTGTTAGTTTACTCTGCTCAACTTGTGAGTCTATGCTTACACACTACACACACACACACACATGTGTGCGCCTGTATTCGACATATCCACGCATTATTATTATAACTATGTCGAAGCGACTCAATTTTCCGTTCATTAAGCAAGGATACGACAAGAAGAAGTTGCCGGGCGGATTATTGACAAATGCCGAGCAATCAAAGCTCGGCAGCAATACAAACACGAGGCAAATAAACGTAAACCGCTCATATATTTATAAAGCCACACGAGGATATATGTAAGCTTGTTGAATTTTCTCTCTCTCTCACTCCCAAACGTCTAATTGGCGAATCGGATCCTAACATCAGGCCAATTAGGAGGGGGCCAAGGCGTTTTCGAAACTTTGATTGGGTTCGCCGCCCGAGAGAGAGAGAGAGAGAGAGAGAGAGAGAGAGAGAGAGCTAATTAAAGCTTCGGAGCGATGTACAAATCTCTCTCAGGCAAGTGCGCGCCACCACCGCATGGCAAAGTCCCATTCAAGAGCTGGAAGCTGCTTCGCTCGCGCGATCGATGCTTTGATATTAATTTCTGACGTTCGAGATGGTAAAAAAATAAAATAAAATAATCAATGAGCGGTCGGTTAATTACCCGTTCTATAAATTTCATTTTTTTTCTCTCTCTCTCTCTCTTCTCTTTTTTCTTCGAATGCAAACAAAAAAGTGAATCGTATACGCACCGCATCTCGTTTTTTGTGTGTATTTATTAACGCGTGCACGTTGAAACAAAACCGCAGTAAATATACTTTTTTATCTCGGGACGCGAGGCACATATGAGCTTTTCATCGCGCGCACCGCGCTGCATCCTTTTTATTTCGTACACACATAACACTCGGGCCTACATAAATATAAAAAACAAAATATATTTTGCATTTGGTCAATTTTCAAAGCTGCTATTTATAATCGTGGCGCGCGATAAAAGATAAAAATCGGGAGCCCGAGATGAATGCGCGCGCGCGCGCCAGAGCGAGAGAGAGAGAAGCGAAATTTCGCTGACACAAATTATTCGAAAAATTCAAAGAGCGTGTCGTTTCTCTCTCGGTGTTTGCTTGACCCATCTTTTTTCCTTTTCTTTCTTTCTTTCTTTCTTTCTTTTTTTTAATGTCAGGCTCTTTCACGAGCTCTGTACCGGCTTGGTTGAATCGCAAAGCAATCTCGGCTATACGTCTCGAAATTTCGTGCGGGAAAGCTTCGCGCGCGTAACTCTCTCTCTCTCTCTCTCTCTCTCTCTCTCTCTCTCGCTCGCTGGGGGGTATAGGCCAGGCGCGGGTGTAGAGCTTTTTTCAACTCTTTTTTTTCTCTTCCTCCTCCTCCTCCTCCTCCGAGAGCTCTATATATCGACTAAACAATGGCAATCTAGCCGCTCGTTATAATCTCGACCGGTGCACTGCGCAGAGCTTAAATAAAAATACGCGTACGTTCGCGCGCGCGCGCGCGTATTTTCGTAAAAACACACGCGCTCAGCAGCAGTGGCAGCTGTATAATAGAGCTCGTTTCTCTATGTGTGTGTGTACGCAGAGCTTCGCTTATTTTTCAAGGCGCGCGTGCAGCAACGGGTTGTAGAAGAGGAGGAGGAGGAGGAATGCGTCGGAGTGAAAAAATTCAGTTTTCCTGACGGAATCCATCATTTTATTTGCTTGCGTCGACGATTTTCTACTACTACACAGAGACAGGCGCGTGAGGGATACAGAGAGAGAGAGAGAGAAACGATGCGTATAACGAGATGTTTTACAGATGTAAAAAAGGCTAAAAGAATACGCGCAAATAAAAAGTGGATAAATTCTGCGTTAGGCAACGGCGGCGCGGCGAGAAAAATGAGGGAATTGACGCAAATATATTGTTCTCCCCCTATTATGTGTATGTATAAAATATTCAAAGGGGAATTCGGATAAATATCTTCGCGTTTTTAAAACTTTGGGATTTCAAGGAAGGAAGCATAAAAAAGATTTATGCTTAACAAAAAATATAATACAAGCGATTATGTAATGGCGCGGTACACGATTCAAAGGATTGATTTCCGTGACATAATTCATTCAGCGGCGCAAGTGGCTCAAATCTATTGGATCATTTGGATAATAAAAAAAAAAATAGAAGAAGAAGAAGAGGATGAAAAAAAAACTTTTTATTAAGTACTAGTTCTTAGTTCTCTCTCTCGGCTTTTCTTGATTTACGGTCGAGAAATAAGTGCTTTTAATTCGACCAATGAAGCTATATTATATATCGAGTCGCTCTCTCTCTCCCTTTTATGTGCTCAGCCAGCTAGCGATTCTTTAAAAGCCAATTACACCGTATCCGATCCCCTCACCCATCCCTTCGTTTACCCCAGTGCCTCGCTCAAAGTTTGCCCACCTCCTTAATACGTTGTATATCATTAACAAGATAAAAAAAAATCCCTCTCCCACGTTGGATCATGATAAAGCACATAAAAAGCTCGCAACGAAATTACACAACATCAATAGTAATGATAATGAATCGCTCTCACCGATGCAGGTCTCGTTGAAGTCGCTGCAGCAGTCGGCCAGTCTCAGGCAGGCGTGATCGCAGTAGCAGGGCTTGTCGCGCGGGCTCTCGATTATGGCGTTGGGTGCCGCCTTCTGTATGACGCAGCCGGAGTCGCGGCCCTGGCAGCAGAGCTTCGCGGCACGACAGCTGCCCGCCTCGGTCTCCGCAGGATGATGGCCGAGCCACATCAGGCAGACCCAGGTCAGGAGCACGACCATGGACGAGGAGGCCCACGACTCGTAGCGACGATACATCTTATCGTCGTCGTCGTCGTCGTCGTTTTTTTCTTGTATTTATTTCCTTTTTCCGCAGCGCTAGAAAATTTATGCAAAGGAGTCTTTAATCAAGCGGCTGCTGCTGCTGCGTATAGTGCAGTAGGTCAAGAGTTCAACGTTATAAATGTGCAGTAATGCGCTGCGAGGGAGAAAAAAAAAAAAGAAGAATAGAAAACCACGTCGAGGGGGCCGCGCGCGCGCGAGCTTTCGAAAGCCCCGCTATATTTCAAAGTCGATAAGCAGTTAGTCTAATTAACGCCAAGCAGCAGCAGCAGCCGTTTACGAACGTGCCCGGAATATTGCAATAAAAACTCGAGTCGTTTTCTCACCCTCTCTCTCTCTCTCTCTCGAGCTTTGAGGGCACCGAGCGAAAAAGCCTTATGCCGCTGCTGCCCGAGCGAAGCTATTATTTCAATTATGCAACACGTGCTTTTATAGCAGCAGCAGCCAGAGTAGTATAGTACGAATGCAGCGCGCACAGTAGTGGGTTTCGGGTACAGGGTATATCTTGAGTCGTCTCGTACCTTCGGACTAGTAGCTCTCTCTTTGCTTGATTGCCTGCTGCTTCTGCTGCTTCTCTTCGGTAATTCTTGTTCGCCTTTCGTTCATATCAGACCGCAAGCAGCACAGCGACGCAGAATAAGGGGGGCGCTATTCTTCTCTCTCTCTCTAATTAGGCGTCGTTGCATGTCGAGCTTTCACTATGAAGAACAAAAAAAAAACAAAAGAAGTGAACGACACATCGAACTTTACTAATTTTGCACTCGTTAATTCACTCATCGTGAAAAAAAAAGAAATGAAGGGAAAATGATAGATAAAAAAAGTACCCGTGCTATAGGCAGCCCTATAGAGTGATCGATCGCTAGCTCGCGCGCGCGAGCATCAGCAAAGAGCTTTTTCACATTCACTGGACCACATAAAAAAATATATAGATACGTTCTTTTTTCATTTTATTTTTCGAAGCGACTTGTAAAGCTCGATTCATTGCTCCTATAAAAATATGCGCTCGGAGCACAGTGCACTCTGTAACTGCAGCAGCGCGGCACCGAGGAATACCTTGTGGATATAAGAGTCAATTCAAAGCCATTGCTCTTTTTCTCATCTCTCTCTCTCTCTCTCTCTCTCTCTCTATCTCTCTCTACTGGTTGGTTGTAAAACGCAGAAAAATTTCATATAATTTATTCGAAAGGTAAAAAAGAAAATTCAGTACACACGCGCGCAAGCCACTGTATATATAGCTTTCGATTCCTGAATGGATATAAGATTATTAAGATTATTATTATTATTATTATTACACGAGAGAGAACTCGAGCGCGAATCGAGAGAGAAGAGAAAAAAAAAGATGGAAGTCGAGACACACGACGATGGAGCTTTCGAGCTTACATATTGATCGCGATATTCCTCGGATAAAATTAATTTTTTCCCGATATCGTCGTGTATATAAAACGCGCGGGGGTTGACGCACACACGCGCGCGCGCTCGAGCTTGATTATATGTAAAAAAAACCTTACGCCGAGAACACACACACACACATGACGATGATGGCGAACCCGCAGTGCGTTAACGAAGATTTTTTCTTATATTACCCTTCGTCGTTTCCGAGCGTATCTCAATCAAGCGAACCATCGCGAAATTTTCTCTCGAGCGCATTTCACGTTTCGTTCGAATCGACATTTGCTGCCTCGCGGCCCTAATGAAAAGCCAATCAATTATTTAAATCGCTATTTACTCGATCCGAGGCCGGGTTTCGTTCGGATTCGGTTTTTTTTTTTTTTTTTTTTGTTTCGACTCGCTCGTCGTTGTTGTTATTATTATAGTTTCACGCACGTATACGCATATACATTCGATCGAGTGGTTATATATAAATCCCCGTTTTTGTTTACCGATGCGCAAAATATACCGCGTTGATTCAGAAAATCAAGACTTACTGCTTTTACGATAAATATGTACTCTTCTCGCAAGCTTGGGAAATACCGATAATTTTTTTCGATCACTATCGAACGATCCAAGACGCGCACCACATCTCAAAAAAAAAAAACAAAAACAAACAAAAAAACCAACTCGTACAACGTAATAATACACGAGTTTATTACGATACTTTGTGGATAAACACGGTGCAGTTAGGCATACACACGGAACAGCAGCAGCAGCGGCACATAAGTACACAGAGCACAACACAACGCGGTACACACGCACGGAGAGCAAGCACCCAGCAGCAGCGGCACGGCACAGCAAGGGGTTGGATGCGAACGTGACCGGCGTCCTGGAGCGACTGATCGTGATTCCAAATGCGTATAGTAAGGGTACTCTCCTCTCTCTCTCCGCGAGGATGTTACAAAGTAGTGCTGCTGCTGCTGCTGCAAGCGCTCGACGGCGATGCAATGCCTCGCGACTCGACTCCGAGATGTAGGGGGGTTGGTGGTGGTGGTGGTGGTTGTTGCGCGCACGCGCCGCCGTATATACACACGCAACTTTGCTTCAACCCCCGAGCTTTCAAAGTATAGTCGTAGATATATAAACGTACTTTGTTCTCCTCGTGGCTTTTCGCAGTGGCTGCATAAAGTTCTCTCGCGCATTGTGTGTCCTTTTTCTACATGCATATGATGCATAATATGGTTAAAAGCTCTAAGCTCTGTATACCACGTGTTTAATGCTCGAGCTAATGCCGTAGTTATTTCCCCCCCCCCCAAAAAAAAATAACGATAAAATATATATTTCTCGCGAGAGCTTGATATCACGAATAAACATAATATCTCTCGCATCGTTTCGATGCATTCCGTACATCCATATAAACGACGATGAAACTCAATGGTTAATTCTTGCGGTAAAGAGAGAGAGAATATAACGATGTATAGCTTGCCATTTCGCTCGCGGCTCCGCGTATTACATATATATAAGTGCGTACACGTACATCATGTCTCTCTCTCTCGCTCGGCAGTCACGTGAGGATAATTAATCGTCGTGTATTAAGAGAGAGAGAGAAGCGAGCCTTTAACGAGCTCCACGTTTTCGCATCAATGAAATACACCACCTACGACGAACTATCTCTCAGGTCTTGTTCATAAAATGCATACATACTTGGTGGTATATCTATACGTACAAAGTCGAGGGAAATATGCAACGTGTACATGTAACCGAATATAAAAGACTTACAAGCGCGCGCGCGGGGGCTGTCTATGTGTGTGCACGGGAATATCTCGCGTATATGTATATAAGATTTAATGCCTCGAAGTTTCTGCAGTTATAGTATTGAAATTCTGTAATTTATGGATTTAAAAGGAACAATGAACAGCAGCGGTATATGTGGAGCATTGACTCTCGAGAGAGAGAGAGAGTCAAAGATTAATAGTAACCGAGATATTAATATTTTTTGGACTAATAATATCGTTGTAAGAATGGATATAGATTGTATAAATGACTTTAAATATTTATACAATAAAATCTATTGTCTGCTCTCGTTATTCCAGAAAAGCCAAGCTTGTCCCTTGGAGCGGAAAATTTTTGGCGGCGTCGCGCATATTTACATAACTTTAATTCGTTGTGTAACGCAGAGCGAGAGAGAGAGAGCTTTTTGCGTCGCGACGCACTCTCTCCGTTACCCATTATCATTTTCCATTGAGTATGCCGTGGAAAATTGAAATTATACTCACGGCGCGGAACGAATTTAAAGGGCCATTTTAATGCTCGATTAACATGATAAAAATGCTAAATTATCATGAAAATAAGCCCGATGCGCAGAGAGAAAGAGAGAGAAGGAGAGTCAATGTTCTCGACCTAATGGTACCTTTCATAAACATATTTCCGTTCTGTTATTGCGGAGCCCTTAATTAGCGAATTATATTGTACAAGTAAATGCTTGCTACTGTTCAAATAACTGTAAGATATTTTTGGTTGGTTTGACTTTAAAGGAGTTAAATTTATAAAATAAATACAGTATTTTAATCAAGCGAACTTATTATAGAAAACAAGTAAAATTAATCCGGCATATCTATACTGTTCATCGAACTCATCTTAATTTTTCTTTGTATCCAACCAACGTACGATGAGATTTTGGTGAACACGGATGGATCACCTGGACCGGCGCATCCTTCCATGGCGAAGCTCGCGATACCGATAACTCTTCCGTTTATCGATAAAGGACCTCCGGAGTCACCCTTTATATGAAATTTAGAACATTCAATTTTTCGACATAAAATATTTTTTAGTATTGACGAATGAAGGGGTAAATGTTTACCTTGCAAATACCGCCACGACCAGTAATTTTTTCTTTCGTGCATATTTGGTTTTGAGGCTGATAGTAGTTGTGTTTTTTGAAATATTTTTCGCACAACCTCACGTGAGTGATGCGCAGTTCACCTTTTCTCAATAGTTTCGATGACCAAGAATGTAACTAAAATGGATATTTAAACGATTATGTATAATTGGGAGGAAAAAATTAAATATTTTTACACTATCTCTTCCGTATCCACTTATGTATAAGACCGAACTACGAGATGGTCCATATGCTCGTCTGGCCATGCTTAATTTGGCTGGCTTCACGACGTCAGAAAATTGGAACGAAGTGTTAACCTGAATGATAAATTTTAATTAATAATTATCTTCAAGTCTTTTGTAAAAGAAACACATGTCTTACCCTCAACAGAGCTATATCATTTATAGCTGGTCTGTTGAATGCGAAACCATCGTGTACGAACAGATCTGATACAGAGTAAACACTGCCGGGTAATTTTAAATTTGATACCCCCGCGACGACTTTAAAATCTTCGGGCTCGAATCTGGATAAATAATAAAAAGATTTAAATTTATTTTTGGTATAATTCTAGAAAATACTTTTACGCGCTGAATTAAAGATCGCATTGAATTATGCATACCCGTATAAGCAATGAGCTGCTGTAAGAACGTGACGGCGATCGATAATTACGCCACCGCAAAAATGATTATTACCATCGGAGTTTTGAATGGAGACCTGATCGATGAATTTCAATCAAATTGAAAAGAATTCGTATTATTCGATGTACTAATTAATTAATGAAGAAACTTTGATAAATTTTGAATGCGGTGTAGTTTGAATAAAAATACGAATGTTTACCTGGTAGGGAAAATCTTCAATTTTTGCCTCTTGGCCTTTGAAAACTGCGCCGCAATCTTATAATTAGAAAGCGCTCATTAAATATTAAAATGTATAGTCAAATCATTATTGAAAATGTTGATTTTTGAGCTTTTAATTATTACCTTTGAACACGAAAAAAACGATGGAAAAACAAAAATAAATTTTTTTAAATTTTTTCATGGTATTATGTTTCGTTTCACTCTAAGAACTAATGCACTATAACTATACTGAAAACGAGCAATGACTGACAATTTTTCAACGCGAGAATTTTACGACGTCACGTAAGTGACTGACGTTGTAGTGGTCTTCGTTAATGGTCAATTTAACGAGACCGTATCATAAAACTTAACACGATTACTTATATTTCTTGTAATAAGTTTCACACTTTATCAAGTGCATCATCAAAGAAAAAAGAAGTTCTTAGGTAGTTTTTATTTGGAACAACTTTTGAAAATGTAATACTTTATTGCCATGAATTTTTCTACTGAATAGCCTTGTAATACACACAATGTAGTAAGTAACAGAAAAAATTTTTAAGGTTACAAGCACGTGGAAAGAGAACACTTCACTGTATTATGAAAATAATAAATTCTCATAAAAAAGTGATGAGTAGCTTTCCGTAAAAATCATTCAAGATGTATGATTAAATGATCTAATAAAAAGCAAACATAATCTTCGTAATAAATGTACGAACTTCAGTATACTTATTATTGTACAAGATACCAATCTTTTAATCATTTTTACTTAAATACAACACAATATAACAAATTCATTATTTCTTTATCAATAAAACTCAGTAAATTAATAATATTATATCATCGAAAAGTCTATTCTAACTTGTCTGGGCTAGACAATTTCAACGACAATTAACTATATAGAGGCCTCGGCATTCACACAACGTCGCCACCGAGCTACAAACAGCTGACATCAATACGATGATTCAGCTGCTGGTTTCTCTAGACGAGAAATTATTTTTGGATTGATTTATCGGGTTAGCGCGAACGCAGACCCGGCTAACAAAAATTATACGCCCGAGATATCCACATTAGGGATATTCGCAGGGGTCAACCCAATCGTAGTGCAATGAGAGGGCCTCACCCTGGAGGAACCGCCTTCATGATCACGGTAGCCTCTGCGCCAGGTAAGTATGCTCGTGGCAGGTTTCGCTCCCCGCTAAGTACACGCTGGGCCATGCTTCGCTTAAGGGTTGCGATTTGTTGCCCCGAAGCCATCTAGTGAGCGATACGTAAACTAAAGCGGGATGAGTATAGTCTGCGCGTAGATAGTATGGCATAGTATCGCGGCACCGACTATTTGAATCGATACATGGTAAACAAAACGAAATCAATTACATATGACATACATCATTTTTAATTGTTTTTACAAACTATACAAATAAAAACAAATAATGTTTACATGCACTCCTCGTAAAATTTATTCACATCGAGATTATTTTTTAAAATAAACATTAATTTTTTCATAATTATCATTTCGGTTAAAAATATTATACGTATCAAAAAGTATTTTTTTAAAGGACGAAATAAAAATATTATTTTCCGAAATGTTTCTCATAATAATCTTTATTTTTATCAATCAAAAAGTCAATCAACATTTTCCAAAAACTTCAAACGCGGTTACGTTGAAATACAATTTTTTTTTTTTCATCAAGCTCAATTTGCGTCCGACTTGTAAAATGCACCAGAACCGAGTAAAAACATCAAACGACGGGAAACGCGGGCCGCTGTTTTACATTATTTGAAATCAATAAAAGCAAATTCGGCAAATAAGCTCGCACGGATGCAGCAGCGACGACATGCGATGCGTGGATCCTACACACACACACACACACACACACACACACACACACACACACACACACTTGTAGGGTTAATATGCATGCATAAAGAGAGAGAGAGAAGGGGAGGAGATCGTCGAGATCGTTTCTCCAAAGTCTCAGGAGGGACTATGACGTTGATGAATAATTCATACAACGTCAAATATATACGCATGTGGAATTTGACGCAGCGTGCGCGCCTAAATTTCAACTCTCTCTCGTCTATAGGGCTGCAGCGTCGTTTACGCATATACTACAACACATACACAACGAGCAATATAATACAATAGAGGTAAATATAATTTGGTTTAAGTTTGAGGACAATAAAACGTACGTAGGTATACGCACGAGGAATTTTCGGCGTGCTTCGAGCAATATTTAGCTGGCAACTCAAGACTAGAGCAATATCGTGCGGATGAGTGTGTACTCAACAACGAGTATGTAAATACCGACTATGAAATTAAATTTATTTAACAGAAAAATTGTTTTTGTCATTTTCTCACCCACGAATCACGATTCCCGAGTTAGAATTATTTTTAAATAGCAATTATTAATTATTTAAAATAATTAATTTTTTAAATTAAACAAAACATAAATAAATTAAAAAACATAAAATTAAAATGAATTGTTTCGAAAGAAAAAAAAAGTAAAAGATAGAGCACCCCAATTTAAAGTTGACGGCGAGGATTTGAACCCTCTTATGTCAGTACTCGCAAGGCAACTGCGTGCGCTTTGCATCGCGAAGCCAAGCGCTGGGATGTCTATCAGTGACAAGAAAATCTAACTTATGCTACAACAGCGCCACATTGACTCGACTATTTTTCATCGTTATAAATGCCCTTATACCGACACTCGCGAAACATTACAATGTAAAATTTCTTGAAAAATCGATTGATGTTTTTTTTTAATTGAAAGCTTATATTTATCTTAAAATTAAATAATCGTATTACAATAACTGGCGTGGGATAAAATTATATGATATCATAGTTTTACTGTCCATCAATTATTTTAATAATATTATTCAATTTCTAAGTTAAACATGAGCTTTCATTCAATGGTTCGCTTTCAGTAATTGACGAGGTGATTCTATATTCAGCTCAGTTGCTCGGTCACGAGAGAAAATCCTTAAATTATCCACAGCTGTTGCGTTTGGAATAATCAAGACACAAAATCAGTACACGCGGTCGCGTCAAGCTACTCGAGAGAATTACTCTTTCATAAAATTAATACGGACAGTTCTTACAATCGGATACGTATACACACACAAATACTGTACATTAAGAATAAATAAGTACTTCGATAGTAAAAAAAAAAAAACACTGTGGTATCTACAAAAAGAGCAACACGAGAGCAAAGTTTCGTGTAATATCAAAGTTTTGCCTGTGTACCTAAAGTAAGACGTCTATTATATGACACATGCAATATACACACGCACTCGTACTTTGCTCAGCCTTTTTATAAATTCATGAGTCGCCGTGTGCCTTAGTAACAAATGTCGAGAGTTGCACACGAGAATTTTCCGCTTTCAACCTCGACACGCGCTTTGTAAAGAGACACATAAAATCACGTATTACGTAAATATATATAGAATAGGATACGAGGTTTACCCAGCAAGCATCGCTCGTGTTTATATACAGCAGCAGCAGCAGCAGCTTTTGTTTCCTGCCGTGCCGCATTCTCGCGGTTATTGGTTTATTCCGTGCAGCACGTGGTGAGCTTTTGTGCGCAATCGCCTACTCCACCGAGCTTCCGAGGAAGACGTCGATTCTTGACGCGCGCGTGTGTGTGTGTGTTGTTGTATCGTCATTCCGATGCACTGCTCGGCGCAGATTTGTCACACGCGTTCGGGCGGCGAAGAGACAATTTTCGCAGGGATTATCCTGCGTCGATAACGCGCGAGGAAAATCGACCTGTATATCGTAATACACTTATGTAAACCCGAGGCGTGGTATGTCGTATACAAAAGACATTGATTAAAGCGTCACGAGCTCGCGTAATTACACTCATAAATTAAACTATTCCAAGTGAAATTTCATTTTTCTCTTTTATTATATTTTACCGTATAAAATTCACGATCGACTATTTGCGATTCCTCGAGTTTGATATATCGCTCATAGGCTCGATTAAATATCCGCTCGTCGAAGTCAAAGAATAAACATCCGGTGCCTACTACAGCTGCATAATGCACGTGAAACTTCAGAAACTACACCCTTCGCCCCTCCTCCTCCTGCTCTTTCTCCTCTTGCCTCGCAGCAGCAGCACTTGTGCTACTACACGCGAGCTAATTTTCTACATTATATCGGTGAGAGAGAGAGACAAAAATCGATATAGCTCCGATAAGTCGGCCACAACTCGCGTCGCCGCTTGGCTAGGACTAGCTTATACACATGATATAGCTCGTTACTCTATACACACACACATGTGCACTCGTCCCAGAAGGAAACTCCCCCTTTCGAACGCAACAAGTACCTATATTTTGCATCCGTGATACGTGTTCCGCGTTCGATATCGCGTGCGGCACAGCAAGCAGCGTGTGGGTATATTTCTTAATAAATAACCCATGCGATTTGTGTACCAGCCCATATTTATTTGCCGCATAGATCGTGTGCTCGATTTAGTACACTACATTCGTCGGAAAGATGATGAAAATATGGGACGAGTCCGCTCGGAAGTCGATCGCACGTATCGATATAAAGTATATATACGACGGAACGATGTTATAGTACACTCGTTGGAATTTTTGTCTCGTACTCGATGGTGTAATATGAAAGCGCTTAGTAACTGTTGATCGAAGAGAATAACTGAGAAACAGTTTTTTCGTTTGTTTCCTATCTTACCGATTGTACTCGACACGTTTCTCTTTTCTTTGCCGTAAAAGCAAGTGGTAGATGGTATTTAATTTTCGTTTAATACACGCCGGCCGGCGCATTGATTGCGACGCGCTTAAAAACGACCGAACTCGCACAGCGCTGAAAGGATCCTCGAGCAGCGGATGAAAGAAATAGAGGGAGAAAGGAGCGTACGCAGTCGAGTGAGATAAAAAAAATGTACCGAGCAAGAAAAATAAAAAGAAAGCGCAAAGAGCACCAAAGCGCATTAAAGATCTTGATAATCTTGATCGCCGACTGGATTATTTGCGCGCGCGAGCGAGCGAGTGAAAAAGTGCAGATGAAGATGAAAAAAAAAAGGAAGAAAAGAAAAAAGAGAAGCGATCGAAGAAGGGTCGCGCGTAGCCACGCGGAGAGTCCAAGGCGCGCGAGAAAACGCGCGGGAGAAAAATCGGACGATCGCGCCCGCGTGCAAATTGCATTCCCCGTATGCCTCGTGCGACAAAAGTATGAAAACCCCGGGAATTCTTACGGAGTAAGTGTATAGTATATTTTGAAACCTATTTTTTTGCGGATAAAAATAAAACCACAAATTTAGCTTGCGTGCGTGCTCATGAAATAGCCCTGCATGCACAGGAGAAAGCCGGGCATGAGTAGCGCAGCAGCGCTCATCGCGCTTCGGTCGCATAGCACGGCACTTATTGTCGAAATTACTCATTTTCTAACACGCTGGAAAACCTCCTAAACCTACTTAAAAAAAATATATGACATGCCACATCGATGGAAAATTTTCTCAGTTTTCTGATGGTGTGTTAAGATTTTCCGAAAAAATTATTTTTCTTCGGAAAATTAAAAAAATAAACTTTTAACATTAAAAATATATAAAAAGCGTAATTTTAAGATTTTTGATGATAGTCTAGATCAAAAGCTGAAAAAATTTCCCATTGATATGCAAGTTTTCATAGTATGAAAATAATTATTACTTATTAAACCACAGCGATAAACGTGTAAAAAGCGTTTTTACACATTCATCAATGTAATTCAGCTAGTAAAAATAAAATCAACCATCTGGAAAATGTGTATTTAGATGAAAATTTTCTCAGCTTTTGATCTAGACTGTTATCAAAAATCTTAAAATTACGCTTTTTATATATTTTTAATGTTAAAAGTTTAATTTTTTAATTTTTCGGATAAAAATAGATTTTTTGGAAAATCTGAGCACATCATCAGAAAGCTGAGGAAATTTTCAATCGAAATCATAGGTCACATATTTTTTTTAAGTAGCTTTAGTAGGTTTTCAAGCGAGTTAGAAATTAAGCAATTTTGTCAAAAAGTGCCGTGCGACCGCCGCCGTTGACACGCTGCTGCTCATGCACGGCTTTTTCTTGAACATGAACCTAAAACTCATGCTCTCAGCGAGCACGGCTCACAGCTCGGCGCCAGTTTTTCCGTGTATGCTTAAACACGTCCCACCATTCGGTTGGACCGTAGACAGATAAACGATATTAACCCAGTGTACAGTCAGCAGCGTCGCGATCAAACTTTTGAAAGTTCGGCGTGTATTAGGGGCGTTGCCCATGTGCTTCCTGCGTGCGCTATTGTCGCGCGATGCGGGGCCTCCGATTACACTAAGGGAACTTTCACTTTCGAGCCGTGACTGTGCATGGCTCGTGTAGCTACGACCATGTGTTTTTCAATTTCTGTATAGAGATCTCAGTACGCGTTTCGACCTCGTGGTGTAAGCAGCACAACTCTCTCATTGATTTTGAAAGAAAAAAATAATATATTTTTTTAAATAGTCGGTGTTTGTGTGTCGTGTACTGTTACAGTGTTCAAAATTTATAATGTCTTCGTCAAGTGTTAGATCCGACGAACAACGCGTGGAGGAGCATCCAAAATTAGACGAATTGAAGAGGTTAAGAAAAAACTACTTCTTGAAGGAGAAATGCCACCGACACCTACTTATCAATAATTTAAAAACATTAATAAAAGATTGGACGGAACGACTTCCAAATCTGCGCGATATCTTTACAAGGCAAGAGATGGATTGGCTTCTCGAGGCGATCATGTATTCGTTTGACCAGCATCGAGAAATAGTTGATTTCTTCATTTGTTGCGGCTACAAAGACGAGCCCGATATGGACGAGGACGGCAAGCCACTGCTGCGTCGCACCACGCCAGTACATCAGATAGATCAATGCAGTAACGTGTACTGCACTTCGAGATATGCAGCGTTGCAACGTCTTTTCAACATTTACGACAAATTTGACGTAAATTATATCGACGAGTCGGGCTACTCTCATTTCCACGTGGCCTGTAAATACGGCCTCGAAGACGCGGTGAAGAAATTCCTCGAGGTCGGTCAAGTTGATCCAAATCTCCTCGTGCCGAAAACAGGTGACTACCCGCTACACTTGGCTTTGAAAAACGTGAACACGACGGTTGTTGGATTGTTGCTGAGAAGTGGCGCCGATCCGAACCTGGCCAACAGGTTCGGATCGACTGCTTTGCACGTCCTTAGTAAACTAAACGCCGATCGTTTTTATTACGAGAGGATCAGTAAAAAACAGTGCGCAGATCTATTAGAGATCTGCGACGAAAAATGCGTGCCAGTAAATATCGACGCGCGGGACAATGAGGGCAACACACCGTTGCACGTGGCTCTGTCGTATTACGGCAGCGGACTGCTGCTAGCTTCGTTGCTGCTGAGACGTGGCGCCGATCCGAACTCGGTCAACGATAAAGGAGAGACTCTTCTGCACATCATTGCCAAGCAAGGCCTCGGAGAGGAGCGAATTTTCATTACAATCAAGGAAAGATCGCAGCAGACGGTGCGGATCGACGCCCGGGACAATTTGGGCCGAACAGCGCTTGAATGGGCCGTGGCGAGTTGCAGTCCGCCGGCCGTCAAGAGTCTTCTGGAATATGGCGCCGACGTGTCCGGATTCGTTTTTCCGACCGCGGCATCGTACGATTATCCAACATCTTTCCCTGTCCAGTATTGTTCTGTGATTAGACTAGCCGTGGCGACTGGTCTGCTGGCCATCGTCGAACTGCTCGAGACAAAAGTAGGTCAGGAACTGGATCTCGGCGACGCCCTGAAGGTCATGGGATTTTTCGACAAGTACAAATTGTATGAACGTGTGAATGTTTCGATCACTAAGTATGTCGACAGTTTAGCCGATCCAATACTCGAACAGATGGCGGAAAAATCCACGTATATGGATTACTTCAAGTTCGCGAGGTCTTATACGGGAAGCCGCAACTACAGGTCTAGGGATGCTTGTGATTTCCGTTTGTGCGAGAAAGTAACGAGGAAATTTTTTCGCGATTGGGCCCTGGATTGCTTTATGGCATTGATACACTATCGGTTGCCAATTCTCTGTTGTAACATGATTATAGACCAGCTAACGAACAAAGATTTGTATTATATTTGCTTGGCGGCTAAAGGTCAAACTGATGAGCAAGATAAAATAAATGTTACAGAAAATGTATTAAAACGTAATAACGAAAGACCTGTTGGAGATGGAAACGCTCCAAAAAGGCTAAAAATTGAATGTTGATATGATAATATAAAATGTAAAAGGAGTGAAAAAGATGATCGGGTATTAGCTAGGCGGCTGCGGGTTAAAACTCGTGATGATGACATTAATTATAATTAGAATAATTTTATTTATGTATGTAAAGAAATCGATATTTCTCTGGTGCGTGAGTGAGCGCGCTTGAAGTGTTGCGTGTATGGAAAGAGAAGAGTGATGTTGGTACTTACTGTTAAACTTAGAAGCGACCTTTTGAACACCTGGACAGAGAGTAAATAGAAGTTTGAGGCATTTGAACTGAATTGTCGTTTCTTTGTTTAACAGGTAATTTTGTAGATATTGTATAATTATTTTAGTTGTAATAATAAATAATCTTTGTTTAACAGAGAAACATATACGGCATCACACTAATTTGATCGAATCTTCTTATATGTATACGGTGTAATTGCTTCAATGAATTAATAAATACATTTAATAAAACGAGTTTCCGTTTGTCCATTGATAAGCACAAGATCATTATCCTCTTCAAAACGATAAGAATACATATAACACAATTATCGATTGCAGTGCGCCGTGATCATGCGGCGAGAAAATATAGAATTGGGAATTAAAGGAAAAGTAGGGTAGGTGCACCTATTACTGTGCTTGTCCGTATTGCTGGATTTTAACATGTAATCAAATATTCAGTAATAGGGTCATTGAAGGTTATGTCTTGGGCACAGTAATAGGTGTTTTACCCTATATGATAAATTGTATTTTTTGTTGAAAAATGAAATTTTTTCATGGTAAAAGTCTGAAATTTCATAAGCTTGTGTAGAGTGGATTTTTGGCATTCATACTAAAATTCCATCATTATGGATTAAAAATTCTGGATTTCTTATAAAAAATTAACATTAATACAATAATACAATTAGCTATCAAGGACAACCATCAGAAGTGAAACTTCAATAAATTAAATTCAAACATCAATATATAGAAAATCGTACGAAAAAGAGAAAAAAATCGAAAATTTTAGTGAAGTAAAAAAGTAAAGTAAGTAAATCCAAAAGTAAAAAAAAATTGAATTTTAATTGAAATAGGTAATTTCAAAAAAAGATCGAAAGAAATCAAATGAATAAAAAAAATTAAAGTTCAAATAAGTCTCAATGTAATTGAAAAAAACAAATATTCAAAATCGAGTTAAATTTAAGAAAATTCAAAAATGAAAATTCAACCGAAGAAAAGAACTCTGAAGTTTCACTTCTGGTGCTAATGCATATAGCAAAGCATTCTAGAGAATCTAACTACCTCGGCTACTGAGTAACGTAGACAATTGGCATGCCCCGCCGCGATGAACGATATAAATTGCGACGGTGCGTTCATGAGAATCCACGCAAGAAGATACATGGCAAACATCTGTATGAAGCTACTGGTGGATTTCAAAATGCTCGCGGCCGATCTCTCCATGACCGATTATTGCAGCTTGAATTTGCCCGAGCACGTCTGTGTAAAAGTTGCCGAAAAAATGAGCGACGAGGATCTGTTGAGTTTGTTCGAGAAGACGAACGTCGATGACGTGGAGCAACGATGCGAGGACGATTTAAGCGTGAGGACCAGATTCGACAGACTTGCATTGTAGCGAAACGCAAAAATTTTCTCTATCGGGAACGATGTTTATTTTTTGTATAATAGTCTATTGCGATGATATTTCAGTTAATGATTATGACGAAATATTAAAATTCCAAAGACCTTCTTAATTGCTTCTCAAAGCTATTATTCTTCCAATAAACTTAATTGATTTATCAACAACAACATCGGGCGAAGAAATTTCAAATGATCTTTCATATAAATACCCACAGATAAGATTCATAAGAGCATAAGCTTCGCGGTAATTATTTCAGACAAATTCGCATCAAATTATAAAAACGCATCTTCGTTTAAAATAATTATTTCGGCAAGCTTAATACGCTACCTGCATTGCGCGATCGAAATCATCGCGCACTCGTCGCCTAGAGTTTTGCGAGTTTATAATGTCAAACGAGCGCGCATGTGTAACGTCACGCATTTATTTTTCGCCCGATGAACCCTCTACCCTCCCCAAATGCACATAGAAAGTAAAGCCGCGCGAAAACTTGGGCTTAAATTACTTCAAAACGAGCACCTCCCCGCGCGAGGTCCTCCTCTCTCTCTCTCTCTCTCTCTCTCCGCGCATGATGCAGCACGTATATACTACGTACGTACACGCGTGCGTGTACAGCGTGCGGCCTACAGCTAGGCTAGCAGCAGCGAAAGTGGAAAACCAGTAGCGCATGATAAACTAATGAGTTCCAGGCGTCGACGTCGTCGTCGTCGTCGTCGTCGTTAAAATGTAAAGTCTCATTAGAAGCGACCAAGAGTCTGTGTGTGTGTATGTGTACACCTAGGGAGGACTCTAGGTTGGTTGGGCAGCAGCACGGGCTTAACACGCTGCCGCCGACACCACTCGACGCGACTTGCCTTTCTGACTGCCTTGAAATATATAAAAGCGGCAGTGGCTGCTGTGAGCTTGCAAGTTCAGTGGACGAGTAGGCTGCTTTTTTTTCCCCCTTTTTCTCGCACACTCACCCTGCTGCCTCTATGCGGCACTACTGCAGGACTTGAAATTTCATTCTGCACCAGTTCTGCGGATTACGTTATACACGTCGGGTACCGCACTTTTTATACTCTCACGGCCAATGACGAAGGAAGCTACTGCCGCTGCCGTTGATTGATTGGATCGTACAGCGTCATTATTATTGGCTGCAAAAGAGTATACGCGTCGATTTATAGTTCATACGACGACGACGTCTTACGCGCGTGTACGTAGCAAAGCTGCGAGTCGCGCATAAATAAATCATCAAAAAAAAAAAAAAAAAAAAACAGAACCAACCCACACCCCTACGCTATAAAGCCGAGCTTGATTCGCAGTTTAACTTATTCATCGTCGTGTAGGCGGGGGTGGTGCAGCGGAGCTTTTGATTTTGAGCTGCGCACCACACCACCGGGGCAAAAAAAGTCCTTAAAAGAAAAGCTTTCAGGTTAATGGAACACCCGCAAACACACATACATACATATGTGCGCCACACGTACTTATGTGGCAGTAGTAGCTCAATGCGCGAGGCACCCCCCTACCCCCAAAATTGCTCTCGCTCGGCTTCTAAATGTTTTATTCCTGCAGCATCAGCTCGTTCAGCTTCGTAATTTTTTACCCCATATACCATATATACTCCCTTTCTTCTCTCGAGAATGCGTTACTTTCTTTCTTTCTTTCTTTCTCTTTTTTCTCTCGCTTCCGTTTGTGCGGCGGCCGCACCTCTGCCCCCACACACACACAACTACCACCGCTGGAATCGAAATTCTCTTAAATTATTTAAACCCCCTTTGCGTATACAGGTAGCAGAAGTAGCAGCGGCGGCAAAAGGCAAACGAAAATACATCATGCACTTTCCCGTCCGTAAGCAGCAGTTGGCGCTTCTTTCTTTTTTTTTTTTGCTTCGTGTATCCTTGGGAAATAAAAATCTTTACATTGAGAGATCGACTGCCTCTCTGATTGAATAGGGAAGAAAAAAAGAAGCGAACGAACGAACGAAGAGGGGGTTTATACATTATAAAAAACTCAGAATTACATCTTCGGTTAAAAGATATAAAAAAAAAAAAAAAAAAGGAAAAAAAATCACGGACAAGTTTTCCTCTTTCCTCTCATTATCGAAACCAGATACACTTCCCTTCGGGTGGTGGCAGCGGCGGTGAATGAAAAAAAAGAAAATAAAAAAAAAAGTCAAGGGATGAAAAAAAAAGCCCGAGCATAAAAAAGTTCTCTCTGACTGCTGCCGCTGCCGCCGTACAGTTATATATCTGTATAGACATGGAGAAGCAGAGAAAGAGAGGGCAAAATGAAAAGATCGCGCAGGTGGCAATCGGAAATTTAATCAACCTCGACAGTAGTGCTCAGAGTTTCTCTCTCTCTCTCCCTCTTTCGAGCTCTTGCTCTGCTGTGCTGCTACTGCTGCTGCTACTGCTGCTGCTGCTGGTCTCGCTTTCGCGAAATCGCACGTCGTCGAGTAAAGATTAATGAGGCATCCGGTGCAGCGCTACTTCTATGCGTGTACGTACGTATGTATGTATGTATGTATGTACATGCCCCAGGAGTAGCTGCCTTCCACTGTTGTACCTTCGAAAAGCAGCAGCAGCAGCAGCATCGGTCTCTCTTTCTATTTGTGTAGATGCGTGTATTTGTAACTTCGTTAATTTATTCCGGCTAGTAGTAGTACTACTACTGCTGCACAACTTGCCGAGTAAAGGAAAGGCATTTTGTCTGGGTGCTAAAGGCAGACGATACGTCTTTTCCGTGACGTGTATATTGTTTAGACGCCATGAGGCATTTTTCCTCGGGAAAATTTTTTCTTTTATTTTCTTCCGCTGCTTCTTCTCTGCTTCGGGGGAAACGCGGCAACTCGGACGCGCACGGCTAATTAGAAAAAACTCATTTTCTTAGGAGGGTGTATGTTATTGATGCACGCCCGAGTGTCAGTTATAAACATATTTTAATTGCCCCGCGCTGCTGCTGCTTTATTGTTTTCTATTTTACATACAAAGGAATTTTTCGTAGCAGCTTGAAATTAATTTTTATTTAATGTTTATATCAGAGCGAACACAACGGATGTAAACATTTCATTTTAACTAAAAACATGTAAGCTTACTTTTTAATCGTTGAAATAATTTTTATCCGCGAGCGATTATGCGCTGCGAGTCGAAATGAAAGACGCGAACGAGCTTTCATCGCGGATTCTTTTATTGTCGAGTCCTCTGCGCGTATCCGCAAGAAGTAACGCACCTTAATGGCTTTAAAAGTACAATTAAGAATTATTCGTACGTATATACGCGCGCTGCACGAAATGCGCTTACTACCGCCGCCGCGCGTCCATACACACGTGACGCGTACAGTGAAATTCTGCAATTAAATGCCGAAAGCTAATTTTCCTTGGGTTAAAATTTCGCATATATACGTATATAATATATAATAATACATTATATACGTGTGTACGTCTCAGTGAATTCCCTCGCGGTGCTCGACGTTCATTGTGATTTATCAAGCCGGAATTATATACGAGAGAGAGAGAGAGAGAGAGAGAGAGAGAGAGCTGCTGCTAGCTGTGTACCGCGGCTTTATGCAAGTTTATCACCATTGACTGTCAACCATCCCCCCGAAAGTCGTCGTCGTCGTCGTGTTTTTGAGCTTGTATAGAGCATTGTCCTATATATATAGCTACACATAATTCAAAACGCGCGCGGAGCGCGCAATTCAAAATGTTTCAAAAATCGTTGACGTGCGCGCGCGCCGTGAATTAGGTTGCCGTGCACCAACAGAAAAGCGAACAAAAGAGGAGCGCACGAGCTTTTTCGACCGAATTTCATTCGCCAGCTTTTTTCCCCCCTATATAGAAGAGAATAAGGCTAGATCCCCGGCTGGCACACGTGTCAAACGAACGAACATATCCCTTGTACTCTCTGCTCTATATACAGCAGCAGCGGCATGACTTTGAAATCGTCCGGTCAAAGTCCCGAAAGAGAGACAGAGAGATCTACCCGCGCGAAATATAGGAGTCGCGTAGTTGCGGGCTCTGTAGTAGTAGTAGTAGAAACACAAAAGAGAGATTTAATTGTCAATCAGAGTCTGCGAGTCCTGTGCTATCGCTACGTAGTGTATTATACGGCATTGGCAAAAGGCTCTTTCTTCGGCTTTAACGTTTGGACAGGCCGAGAGAGAGTAGTGCCCCCGACTCGTGGAATGGCATTTTCACCAGTAAAACCACACACGTAAGAGAGAAAGAGCGCAGCGAGCAACATACATCGCGCGCGCACACACATAGGTGCATCGGAGTTTATCTCTATCCTAAGGAATTTTACGATGCCACTTCCACACGCGAGAGAGAGAAAGAGATTTTATCCCTGGGATCGAGGGGCTTCGTATTATATACCTCCTTTATATATATGTACGCGTTTGTACCTATAAAATCGAATAGTGGCTTACGCGCGTACGCGATGATACGCGTTTTCGACAAATTACGTGCTGCATGCAGCTGGCTGTAATCGTAATCCATGCGCACTCGCGATCATTAAAATCACGCTCGAGCACTGCTACTATTACTACCATATACTTTTAACGATTGTATCACGTTGACAGGATGACACTCAAAAATGTTTCGTTGTGTATACTCCGAAAAAACGATTAAAAATAATAATACTGAACAATTCGATCTTTGCTCTTACTCCGCATCGCGATATAATTCATTTTATCGTTTTGATATCGAAACAATAGAAGAAGAAGAAGTAAAAAAGAAAAGAAAAATTACAAAGTATTTACACGAAGGAAATCGAAAAGTTTCATCTATCAGACCGCTGCGGCTGCTGCTGCTGTTGGCTCGTGTTTTCTCGCACACTCACACGCACACACACCCACACCCATACTTATAACAGTCGAGTAATAGAAACGAAGCACAAGCTTGAGAAATTGAATCGAACGAGCAGCGACGGCGTCGGCGGCAGCATCTTCACGGCATAACGCAGATATCGTTTCTCTTATCTGCTCCCGCGCGCGCGCGAGAGAGAGCAGTATAATACACCTGCACAAAATCTATATAGCGTAAAAAAAAAGGAAGGAACAGCAGCGTCGCGACCTTCGAGTTTTCTTATCCCTACCACCCCAACCCCCTATTACGACCACTGTGTACGGTGTATACTCTCGAGCTACTATACAAAAGGCTTTTCCTAACTCGTTGCTGCCGCCGCTGCCGCCGCTGCACACCCGGCTTTTCTTTTACATGCGCCCCCGCTGGTGAGCGCGCCTATACACACACACGCGCGCGTATATTAAAGAGGAACTTCTATTATCGTAATTTTCCAAGCCACTGAAGAAAATCCATGCGCCGCGCGTTAGCTATACTACTGCTACTACTACTAACGTATACACCGCGCTTTACTCTCTTTCCCTCCCCACTGGTTTTTTTTTTTTTTTTTTGCTTCTTTTTCCTGGTACTGCTGCTACTGCATGGCTCAAAGGACACATAGCATTTGCGAAAAGATGCCACCCAGAGAGAGAGAGGAGATTTTCTTATACATAAAGTCCTCTCTCGCTTCGTACATATATAAGTATGTATACACGCGTCTGGATCATTGCCAGGTATATGCACAAGCGGCAGCATGTTCAAGGGGAGGGAGAGAGAGGGTTGTAAAAGGTAATGCGGAGCGTAAAAGGTACTTCTCGCCGCTGCCGCTGCTTCTATACTGCTGCATATTGCGCGTCGTTCTTATCTCTCTCTCTCCTCGGAGCGATAGCTTTTTGTTTCTCGGCCGTTGCGTATAGTAGTAGTAGTGCTGCATATTTGCACAAGACAGCAGCGCGGCATAAACGAAACCGGCCTTATAGAGCGATCTCTGCCCCGTATAATCTCAGCTGCCTATAACTATTTTTGCGACTTTATACGTCGTTACTATTATGTCTGACCTCGAGCTGGGGGACTCGATAATATTGGGAAGACGACGAGGGAGTGTTAAAAAAAAATAAGCCGTAAGCTTGAAGCGCGGAACGATAAATAAGATCCGCGAGGATACGGCGCTTTTGGATGCGCTGAATACGCGATTTTTCGTGATCGATAAGAGTTGTAAACAAGTGTATTGTAAACTATTAAAGATGGATCAAAAAGATTCAAACGATTGAATTATTAAAAGTAAAAATCAATTGATTAGAAAAAACGCAGGCTATTTCATTGATAAAGATATTGCTCCTATTTTGTATGTAATATGATGCCGATAAAAAAATATGAATCTCGTATTTAAAAAATATATTCTAAACCAGACTATTAGATGATAAACTTTTACCTACTACTGAAAACGTAAACCAGTAAATATTATAGCCTTGCTCTCGTACACTGAGAAAAAAAATTCATTGATTCAATGAAATCTAATTTAATATTTTATTCACTATTAATTTAATCAAATGATTGATTGAAGCAATGAAATTTTGGTAAAAACAATTAAATATTTTGTTGGATGAAATAAAAAAAAATTATATCAATGAAATTATTTCATAGATTGTATTTAAATAAATATTTCTTAAATCAATGAATTTTTTCTCTCTGTATAATAGCTTGCAAGCGAGTACGTTTGAATTTTTAGGTTTTCGGACTTCGATACGGCGCATGCGCGCAACGTGCTGTCTCGTCGTTGAGCGCGCAGTCCACAGTTCCAATATGAAAGTGAAAGCCGAAAAGCATTTTACGTGACTTCGGCGGGCATGTGGGATATAGTTACACGCAGACGGCAGATGGCCATGTGTTTTTTATTCTCTGTATTCTCGGTATTATAGATCGTAGCGTGTGAACACAGTTCAGTGTAGGTTACGACGCCGCAACGTGAACAACGAAATAATATCTCGTCTATACGGCAGCAAGTGATTGATAAAAGTAATACTTATTACATATTACGTGAAAATTGTGTAACAAGTGCGTTGTGTATTTGTGACTGCGCAGAACCATGCCCACTTCAGACCGCTTGGAAAAATTGAGGAGGCTGCGAAACGGTGTCAATTGGGATCTCAAAGAGGACCGTCGCCAATGTCTCAATAAACTTCATCGCTTGGTCAGCAAATGGACGGACCAAATTCCCGATCCCCGAGACGCTTTTCGGCCCGCAGAAATCGACTTGCTTCTATCGGATTCCCTAAGTTACGGCACTAAAGATCGGGTTTACTATTGTAGGTTTAAATTCCTCTTCAATCTAATGGAGATCGACTACAAAGACAAGCCCGAGGTCGACGAAGACGGCGAGCCGCTGTTGCGCCGCACCACGACGCTGCATCGCTTGGCCAGGGGCGAGTACAAGAACTGCTACAGTGACGATTGCGTGAGAGTCAACATAATCCCCGATGTATTTAAAATCTACGACGAGAACAATTACGCCGACGAATTGGGATTGACGCACTTCCACGTGGCCTGCAAATTCAACTGTTTCAAAGTCGTCGAGAAATTTCTCGAGCTCGGCCAGGTCGATCCCAATCACCTCGTGCCGGAAACGGGCGATTCGCCGCTGCACTTGGCTCTGGACAACGGCGTGCACTTCGCGTTAGCCAAACTGCTGCTGCGGAAAGGCGCCGATCCGAATGCAGTCGACGCGAAGGGATCGACGCCTCTGCACGCTATTCTTCGGAAATTCTCGGACGAGGACACGGTGAACGGATTCTTCGATATCTGCGACAAGATAAATAAGTTGGTGCGAGTCGACGTCGAGGACAAGTTGGGCCAAACACCTCTGCAGTTGGCCGTGGCGAATCTCTGGCCTAAAACCGTCGATCGACTCTTGGATCGTGGCGCCGATCTGTCGAGCTTCGTTTTTCCCGACGAGAGTCTTTTCTTTAAGAGTCTTGACAAGTCGTTTAAAGCGGTTTATCATTTGAACAAAAGTAAATTAAAATTACAATATGTATCAAACGCTCTGGCCGTCGTCGAACGTTTGGTAAAAGGAGGATACGAGCTGGACCTAAGCGACGTCCTGACGATCATGAAATTGTTCGCCAAGTACGAATTTTTCGAGAATTCGGATCTGCTCGACTCTTGGCTCAGCTTCGAGGACTACTCGAGCAAGACGAAAGAGATAATGCTGACAGAGGGCCTGTCGCTCTACGACTTGATCCAGTTGCAACCCAAAGAGACGGCGAAACATCTCAATTACAAGGACTACTACGAGTTTCGGCGCACGCAAGATAAGCGTTGGTGCGCGCTCAACGCGAGGCAACTTGAAGCTTGCGCTCTTCATCTGTGCGAGAAAATGTCGAGAAAATTTTTCGAACGTTGGGCGCTGGATTCTTTTATGGAACTGACTCACTGTCGGCTGCCGATTCTCTGCTGCGACTTGATCGTCGATAATCTAAAGAACCAAGATTTATATAATATTTGCTTGGCGGCTGCGGGCCGAAGCTCTTGATGTAGATTCCGCATTATGTCTGAAGTATTTATTTTTTGTGTGCACGGTGTAATTGAATGCTGAATTTTGTCATTGAAATAAATAAATTTAAAAAAAAAAAGAATTCATTCATTTGGTTTGACTTTAATTTTTTTTCCTAAACAGAGAAAGAAGTACAAGGTCCCTTGCATTCGCTCCTTGAATACCCATGATGTACAGGACATTCGAGATTTGGGTGCACTGCAATTTGGGTGACCTACAAATTTATGCTCAGAGAGACATTGATGTTTGGTGATCTACTCAAGTGACTTTGAAACTCAAATTTCTTGTCACACTTATCACACGCATATTTTTTTTGTTTATAGTGAACTATATTTCGATGTCTTATCATGCTTCCTTTCCCATGTAAGTGGCTCTAGACAAATATCAAAAAATACTCTGGATTTTTTTTTCCAACTAATATCCATGCCAGTGTCTAAATTAACAATAGATTCTTCCAGTTAATGTCACGAACTATGAACAAGTAAAATTTATCTTATGATATTATTTCACATTTCCACGTTAAAGACAACAATCATACTATACGATTTATTTTGCTGAAAACATGCTCAGTATATTAAAGAGGCACTGTCATTACTTTTTAGCATCGTACATTTGAAACTACACTATTTCGAAATTCTAGCTTGGGGATGATTGGAGAAATGGGTTTAGTCTCATAAAACGAAGTTCTCAAAAAAAGTTCTTAGTACGCAAGTAAATTCTTACATTTATAATTATAAAATCGTATTTAATGTATGTAAAGGTTGGATTCGAAATTTTTTGAACTAATCTGCGTGATCGATTATCAGATTTTTATCGTGTGTCAGAGACTCGAGTAAAGTATCAAAGTGGGTATAAAATCTTAGTAAGGTTGCTTTAGAAAAGTTGCAGGAAACCCGTCTAGGTTTTCAATCTACTGATCCAATCGTAAAAGCAAATCTATGTACAGAAGATTTAAATTTTGAGAAACTGGACGTTTAAAACACGCTCCGAGCGTGTCAATTTTTTTATTCGTGTTTTAAAGGTTAGTTTGAGATTCAGAAATAATCTAATCTAATTAATATAAGAGCCATTGCGATTATAGATGGAATTGAACCTCTTAGAGCCACTTCATGTAAGTACAAGAAATATTTTAGTTTTAGCGTCGTCTATATCTATAATATAATCTATATACATACGCCCTCTGTAGTTAATAATGTTCATTTCATTTGTTTGATTTGATTGATGATTGATGAGATGATGATGATGATGATGGTGTTTGATGTTTGATAGATAATTGAAGAAGAAAGTCAGTTTTCAGTGCTGTCGTCCATTATCATAACGAAGCGCGATGAGTTTCAGCGAAAGTGATTTTAGTTCGACAGAGGAACTAAATAACATTCAAGTAGGAGATGCCCACTGTGTAAGTTTTTTTCATTTTTTAATTTAACTAGAAATCTATCTGCGCGCTACGCACGCCAGGAACTCTTATGAGTATGTAATTTAATATATGGAAATATTTTGAAAATAATAATCAATTAAGATATTATTAACTACAGAGGGCGTATATAGATGACACTAAAATATTTCTTGTACTTATATGAAGTTGGCTTTAAGAGGGTTCAATTCGATCTATAATCGCAATGGCTCTTTTATATATTAGATCGTAATTATTGATGAATAAATTACTTGGTATTGTAGAAAAGACATATGATACAAATCTTGAATGTCTCATTGTATCAGAACACTGATTTGACTCATTTTTCATGCTTAAATCATTTCTAATTACTCAGAAAGCAATTTCTTATATTCTTTAAACCGTCATTAAAGATTTTTTTTCTTATACTTTGCTAATTTATGATGATTTTAATTTCTCATTGTATTACTTGAAACTATTAAAATAATTTTCCTAGAAATAATCTTAAATAATTTCAAAATTCAATGTGTATATGCATGCTAAAAATGTTCAATTATTTATGTAAACTCATCAACAACATCAAGTGATTTTTAATAAAATGATGCAACGAACATTCATTTAATACAAATGAATAAAATTTGATTTGAATAATTACTAATAATTTTACTTATATTTTATACATAGTAATTCACATTTGAAAATTTATAATAATTGAATCATTAATATTATACTTCATCAGATGATTATAATTTGTTTCTGTAACCGTTATAAACGGAATCAAAATCTAACACCTTTTTTTCTATTATTGTAATACCATTTTCAGATTCAAGTTTTAAAACAGGTGGTCCTGGTGGATATCTTTCCATCACTCCTACAACATGGACTGAATCTTCCTTATCGAGTGGTATCTCAACATGATCAGTATTTATTTTTATTTCAAAGTTTGTGCTCTCCATCTGTTATTGATCCTACATAAAATACAAATTCTTGATTTTTGAAAAATCTCAATGAATTTTTTATGTAGGCGTCCATTTCTGAAAAATAATTTTTTTAAAAAAATGATATTGGTTTAAAAGAAAACTTTGAAATTTTGTACAACTTACCAACTTTTGCTCCAATGCGTGAGTACGCATCAATAATTGAGCAGCTTACAACTTGAGACGATGTTGATGATTTATTTAGTGATCCACATACTTCAATACAGGAATTTTCTTTCACTATTAGCTCAATATCCATATTTCCATGGTTATTGGTTTCGATACTTTTTGCGCTTTGACATTACCAACGTAAACAATCTGTAAGTCACAAATAAGTAAGTTATTTGGTTAATTAAAATATAAGGAGGTACGTTATATAATTTTCATTATCATAATAAATAAAAAATTATACAAAATTACAGAGAATTAATATCAAAATTACATACCTCGTCTATCTCTTTAATCTCTTCGAGTAGGTGTGTTAAATTATTCCAGGCGGTAACCTGAATCTGACGTCCTGTATTGTTATTTACAACAATTTTTATGTACTTATTTTTTGTTCCTTTACAGTCGAAATTGTCAGATACTCTGCATACTCTTCCCACAACATCACTGAAATAAAAAACAATTTTATTAATAAAACTTCAAATTAAACCTCTTTTATAAATAGGTTATAAATGTTTTTTTTAATGTTTTTCATAATTAAATTAAAAAATGAAAAAAACTCACACTGTGGCATCTCCCACTTGAATATTATCAAGTTCTTCATTAGAACTAAAGTCGCTCTCACTGAAACTCATCACTCCGTTTTGTTTCACTCCGTTTTGTTAATGGACGACAACACAGACAGAGACAACTGACTTTCTTCTTCTTCTTCTTCTCCTTCTTTCTTTCTTTCTGTCTTTGTTTCTTCTTTATGGGGGGACCACACAGACCACACAGACAACTGACAACTTTCCAATATCAATCAAAGACCATCATCATAATCGTCAAACAAAAGAAATGAACATTATTAACTACAGAGGGCGTATGTATATATAGATTATAGATATAGATGACACTATAGATGACATAGATAGAAGACACTATAGATAGATGATGACACTAAAACTAAAATATTTCATGTACTTACATGAAGTTGGCTCTAAGAGGGTTCAATTCGATCTATATAGATTTATAGTAAGTTTTAAACGCGCTTCATGCGAGTAAGTTTTTTCGTTCGTGTTTTGAGGTTACTCAAGTACTAACTGTCTGTTGGAACCTTCGGGTTCCAGGAACCTTTTTTGTTATACATAGCGTTTTTTTGGCTCTAGACGCTATTCGCCTTCAATTAAAAAATCTGAAAAAAGTTGAAATTATGTATTTTTATGAAGAAAAAAAAAATAAAAATTTTCCAGATTTTTTTGCAAAATTCCGGAAAAATAATGACACCATAAGATTCTTCGTCAAATTTTACATTGATAATGATTGTCAACTCAAAAAGTAGGAGTGTACAATTATTGACAATTATTGAAAAATCATGTCGCGGTGAAGCGAGTCCTGTTTTACAGTCGCTGCACTACTGTTCCACTTGAATTCGTGAATAATTTTATACTCATACTTTTCGAGTTGACAATCATTATTATTATCAATGTAAAATTTGACGAGGAATCTAATGATGCAATTATTTTTCCGAAATTTTGCATGTTTGTTACATCACACATTTTTCGCAATTATTTCGGTAAATACGTAATGTTCTCAACGGAAATTTTTTTAATGATAAAGTATACATATCAATGTTGTGAACTGTAATAAGAAGTAAAAAAGTGTAAAAAAACATAAAATTCTGAAATAATAATTTATTTATCTTAAATGTTACAATTTTTACTTATGAGTTTGAAATTCTGGTCAAGTCCGCATGTGATCGCATCGACCGCAGCGAGTGATTTTCGTGAAACAAGTCAGCTGGACACAAATTTTGCATTTGTTTCGCGTTATCTTGAACAATTTTACACTGACACTTTTTAAATTGATAGTTCATTCGGATGTAAAATTTTACGGGGAATCGATTGGTTCAGTTATTTTTTCAGTATCTTGCATATTAACCAAGATATGAGGGAAAAAGTGTTTTTATCTACGTACGAGGTACGACTGCTCACTCCGAAAAATGCTTTTTTCTGCCACACCGCGGTGCCAGCAGTTAGAACACAGAATACAGAATACAGAACTTAGCGTACGAATATAGTCCAGTGTAGGTTACGACGTCTCAGCGCGAGCAACGTTAATAATATCTCGAATCTACTGCAGCAAGCGATTGATAAAAGCAAAAAATATTTCATATTACATTAAAGTTGTACCAAGTGTGTTGTGTATTTGTGAATGCGCAGAACCATGCCCACTTCAAACCCCTTTAAAACATTTATATTGAGGAGCCTGCGAAACGGTGTCAATTGGAAAATCAAAGAAGACCGTGACCGATGTCTTGGTAAACTTCATAACCGATTGGAAGGGCCAACTATCCGATCTCCGAAGCGCTTTTTGTCCCTCAGAAATCGACTTGCTTCTATTAGATTCCCTAAGTTACGGCAGTAAAGATCGGGTTAATTATCGTAGGTCTGAATTCCTCGTTTTTCTAATCGATAATGGCTACAAAAGCAATCCCGAGGTCGACGAAGACGGCGAGCCACTGTTGCGCCGCACCACAGTGCTGCATCACTTGGCCAGGGTCGAGTACAAGAACCGCTACAAGGACAATCAGTTGAGATTAGCTATAATCCCTGATTTATTTAGAATCTACGACGAGAACAATTACGTCGACGAATTTGGAATGACGCATTTCCACGTGGCCTGCCAGTATGGCCTCAAAGACGTGGTGAAGAAATTTCTTGAGCTCGGCCGGGTCGATCCCAATCTCCTCGTGACAGAAACGGGTGATTCGCCACTGCACTTGGCTCTGGACAACGGCGTGCACTTCGCGTTAGCCAAACTGCTGCTGCGGAAAGGCGCCGATCCGAATGCAGTCAATGCGAAGGGATCGACGCCTCTGCACGTTATTTTCAAGAAATTCTCGGACGAGGACACGGTGAACAGATTCTTCGATATCTGCGACAAGATAAATAAGTTGGTGCGAGTCGACGTCGAGGACAAGTTGGGCCAAACACCTCTGCAGTTGGCCGTGGCGAATCTCTGGCCGAATACCGTCGATCGACTCTTGGATCGTGGCGCCGATCTGTCGAGCTTCGTTTTTCCCGACGAGAGTCTTTTCTTTAAGAGCATTGACAAGTCGTTTAAAGCGCATTATTTGATCACTAGTACATTAAAATTACAATATGTACCGCGCATTATGCTCATCGTCGAATGTTTGGTAAGAAGAGGATACGAGCTGGAGCGAAGCGACGTCCTGACGATCATGAAATTGTTCATCAAGGACGGATTTTTCGAGAAGTCGTATATGTTTAGGCATTTGGCTCAGCATCGAAGACTACTCGAGCAAATTGAAAGAGTTAATGCTGACAAAGGGCCTGTCGCTGTACGACTTCATCCAGTTGCAAACAAAAGAGACGGCGAAACATCTCATTTACAGTAACAACTGCGAGTTTTCGCACGCGTTTAAAAGATGTTGGGACAAGCTCGGCGAGTGGGAACGCGAGGCTTGCGCTCTGCAACTGTGCGAGAGAATGTCGAGAACATTTTTCGAACGTTGGGCACTGGATTCTTTTATGGAACTGATTCACTGTCGGCTGCCGATTCTCTGCTGCGACTTGATCGTCAAGAATCTAAAGAACCAAGATTTATATAATATTTGCTTGGCGGCTGCGGGCCGAAGCTCTTGATGTAGATTCCGACTTATGTCAGAAGTATTTATTTTTTATGTGCACGGTGTAATTAAACTCTGAATTTTGTCATTGAAATAAATAAAAAAACCCGAATTCATTAATTTAATTAGACTTTAATTTTTTTCCAAGACAGAAGAAGAAGTACAAGGACGTCTTGCATGCACTCCTTGAATACCCAATGATGTACAGGACACTCGAAATTTAGGCCCACTACATTTTACAAATATGTGACCTGTACATTTATGCTCAAGAAAGACAGAGATAGTGAATTATCATTTCATTTATTTACGCGTCGGTAATGCGAGCCTAAAATCTTTGTATACTTCCGGCTATGTTTAACCCACGCCGCGTGCATTATAATAACAGCCGAACGCGATGTCGTTATCTCTTTTACTGTACGATGATGCATCCCTCCTCATCTACAATTATAATATACTAGTTCACGATGCACTACTGTGTTTATTTTAAGTCACTGCAGTATTTGCTTTAATGCTGCACAGCCACGGGCCGAGGTTATTGTAACGTTCTCATAGCTCGTTGCGCAGCTTCGGGATCTATTGTTGTGTGCAACTGGGGGTATTTTGAAGGAAAAGATTCAGACCTTAGACTTTAGATTTAGACCTTTTTTTTAAGACCTGTTGCAGTTCTTAATATAAATCGAGGCTAGCTTGCGTTGTGACTACGCGAGTATCCGAAACAAATCGATTGGATCGAGTCTAATACTCGAGATTTATTTTGCGAATACCCCATCGATCATGATCTCGAATTTTGAACTTTGTTTCGTGAGACATGATCGAATAAAACAGCCATATAACGGGATAAACTATTCAAGTGAAGATTCGTACTCGAAACGACTATATCAGTCTCTGCTCAAAGCGTGAAATGATATTTTTCGGTCTCCGTGTACATATGAAAAATCGTAAAAGGGCCTAAGCCTTAAAAAGAGATGACTTTGTCTTGGCCGCTAGTTTTTTTCGGTAGTTGCGCGCCACGTGGTCACATCGATTGCAGTTAGAACTAAAGTTAGCCAAAACCAATGATTTCGTTTCTTTGTAAAATTTTAGTCTGGTGTACAAATATAACGCCAACACAATACAGGAAACAATGATTTATATTAATAGGTTGCACACAGTTTGTGGTAAGACACCGTCGTATTGACAAAATTTTTATTTTAGAATCACGCAGTATCATTTTTACACATTTCATTGATAAAATACACATTATTTATTTAAAAATTATTCAGTAATTATAATTGAAAAAATTTGAAGTCATGCTTAACAATAAAAACTATTACAATGAAAAATTGATAAACGTTTTCTATGATATTGCAATTGAGCGAAGAAAAGGAGAGGTAAATTTCTTCACCTTCAATCGTTGCGAGTCACAAGCTTTTTTTTCGCCATTCGTTCAGCTTTTTTTTTGGACAATGTTCGGTTATACCGGCAAACTAAACAGTTATAGCACCGATCCAAATGCTTGTCTCTGGAAATTTTCTGGACTGTTTTTCGGGGTCTGCTCAAATTCGATCGAGGTCTGGATTTCTTTTTTTTGCTCTCGTTGCTCACGTCATTTCTGTGGCATTCGTGGACTATTTCTCGATGCCTCATCAAATCGCTTTGAGTCCTGAATGTCTGCTCGCACTTGTCGCGTGAATAATCTTTGTGACCTTCCTTGACAGTTTCGTGTATCTTCAGGTGTGAGATCAAGCTAGATTTGCGTCCGAATTTCTTTTCGCATTTGTCGCATTGATAAACTTTGTGATCTTCGTGCACTGTCTTTAGATGTCTGATTAAATTCATTTTTAGTCCAAATTTCTTTTCGCACTTGTCGCGTGGGTAATCTTTGCGACCATCGTGAACTGTTTTTTGGTGGACAAGCAAATGCTGTTTATATCCAAATTTCTTCTCGCACTTGTCGCATGCGAAATCTTTGCGACCTTCATGTACAGTCCTTTGATGAGCGATCAAATTCGATTTATGCCCAAACTTCATTTCACACTTGTCGCATGCGAAATCTTTGCGATCCTCATGGATTATTTTTATGTGCGCGAGTAAATTATGTTTTAGACCAAATTTTTTTTCGCAATTGTCGC